GGGCGACTATCGGGCCGGAGTTCCGCTGACTTATGCCAATGGTGGCCACGAATACAAGCTGGCCTACTACCACCTCAGCGCTCACATTGGCGACGAATACCTGTTGAAGAATCCCGATTTCGATCGCATCAACTACAGTCGCGATGTAATCGTGCTGGGTTACTCATATCGCCCTAACGACTTCTGGCGGCTTTATGCCGAAGGTGGCTACGGCGTTTATGTCGATGGCGGTGCTGATCCTTGGGAATTCCAATTCGGAATTGAATACAGCACGATGCGGCCCACCGGTTTTCGGGGCTCTCCCTTCGTCGCAACCAACGTGCAACTGCACGAAGAAGCCAACTTCGGTGGACGCTTCGTCTTTCAGGCCGGATGGCAATGGCGCGGGGCAGGGCCGGGGCACTTGTTCCGCTTTGGCTTCCATCATCTCAATGGCATGACCCCACAGTACGAGTTCCTTGGCAACAACGAGCAGCAAACCGGTGCCGGGATATGGTTCGACTTCTAAGCGGTCGCCGAGGCATAGCTAGATTCGCATCTGCTTGGCGATGATCTCGTACATCACTTCGGTGGCCCCACCGCCAATGCGGTCGAGACGGATATCGCGATAGGCCCGTTCGACGAGTTGATCGGAAAAGTAGCCGTATCCGCCATGCAACTGCAGGCAATCGTCGATGATGCGGCAGGCCGTCTCTGAGGCGAACGCTTTGGCCATGGCCACTTCCTTCAGGCTGGGGATTTCCCGAACGACGCGCCACGCAGTGTAGTAGACAAGCTGTCGGGCAGCCTCCAGTTCCATAAATGACTTGGCCAGCCGCTGCTTGGTCACCTGCATGTCGGCCAGTGAGCCAAGACCAAACGACCGGTTTTGGGTGTACTCGACGGTTTGATCGAGTGTGGCCTCGGCGGCCCCGACACATCCGGCGGCGATCACGAGCCGTTCGTTCTCGAAACACGACATGATTTGGTAGAAGCCGCGGTTTTCTTCGCCCAGCAACGCGTCGCCGGGAATGCGGCAGTCGTCGAAGGTGAGTTCGCCCGTGTCCGATCCACGACGGCCGAGCTTGCCCTTGAGTTCATGCACATCGAACCCGGGCGATTTACGCTCGACGAGAAACATGCTGATACCGCGGTGTCCGGCGGAGGTGTCGGTTTTGGCAGCCACGCAGTAAACGTCTGCATTCACGGCGTTGGTGATGAAGATCTTCGAGCCGTTGAGAACCCAGTCGGCCCCATCTCGTTTCGCGCGGGTTTGAATTCCAGAAACATTGCTGCCGGCTGCCGGCTCCGTGATTCCAAGCGCAGCAACCTTTCGTCCTGCCACCAACTCGGGCAAGTACTTTTGTTTTTGCTCTTCCGTTCCGAAGCGAACGATGTGCGGGATGGCGATCTCGGTATGAGCGCCAAACGCCATACCCACACCGCTGGTATGGGCGTGGCTTAGCTCTTCAGCCAGGACGACCGACATCCGGCAGTCGGCCCCGTAGCCGCCATAGTCCTCCGGAACTCCGTGACCGAAGAAGCCGAGCTCCCCGCCGCGGAGAAACAACTCCCGCGGGACAATCCCGGCTTCCTCGAGTTCGTTAGCGCGGGGATTGATTTCGCGTTCTAGGAACTGCCGCACCGTACGTCGGAGCTGGTCGTGCTCTTCATCGAACAAGAAGTCGGTACGCTTGGTGGGGATGTTATCCCCGATCTTCGTTGACATGCGATCAATATCCCGTGAAGTTTCTCAATTGGCTTCTTAGTTGATGCGGCGTTCGCGGTTGGACCAATAAGGTTCGCGAAGATCGCGTTTCAAGATTTTACCGGCTCCGCTTTTGGGGAGCTGATCTTCCACGAACGAGATGCTTTTGGGGCATTTGTAGTTGGCGATTCGTTCGTGGCAGTGCACGATGAGTTCTTCTTCGACGATTTGAGCCCCGGGTCGCAGCACAACAACCGCGTGAACCGCTTCGCCCCATTCCTCGTGCGGAATGCCAATCACGGCCGCTTCCAGCACGCCCTCGTGCTCGTGCAAGGCCGCTTCGACTTCGACCGAGTAGACGTTCTCGCCGCCACTCACAATCATATCCTTGGTACGGTCGACCAAGTAGACGTACCCATCTTCGTCCATGTAGCCAGCATCGCCGGTATGCATCCACCCATTACGCTTCGCTTCGGCCGTCGCTTCAGGTTGCTTCCAATAACCTTTCATCACCATGGGGCCACGCGCGCAAATCTCACCGATTTCCCCAAGAGGTAGTTCGTTGTCCTTTTCGTCCATCACGCGTACTTCGGCGGTGAACAACGAGAACCCAGCGGACTTCAGCCGCATGAGTTGCTGCGGAGTACCGTCGATCACATGGTCTTCTGGCGGAAGCATGGTGACCAACGGTGACAGCTCCGTCATGCCGTAGCCTTGCACGTAGTCGGCTGGAAGTACCTTGAGAGCTTTCTTCAAAACGGCGGTTGGAATCGGCGACGCCCCGTACAACACGCAGCGAATACTCGAGAGATCGAACTCTTCAAATTGGGGATGATTGATGATCATGTTGAGCATCGTCGGGATCATCAGTCCCAGGGTTACGCGATATGCTTGCATGGCCATCATCATGGCGACGGGATCGAACCCGGGGATGAAGGCATGCGTGGCCCCCACCATGGTCAGACCCCAAGTCGACGAGCAATCGGCCAGATGAAACATGGGAGCGACGTGCAGATAGACGTCGTCCTTGGTTGCCCGGTTGGCCAGTAGCCCGTTCATGGAGTTAGCCATCAGGTTATCGTGCGTCAGCATCACCCCCTTCGGACGACCGGTGGTTCCGCCGGTGTAGAAAATGCCAGCCGTGTCGTCACCGTCTCGTTCGGCATCGGGTACTGGATCGGAACTGGCCACCAGTTCATCGTAAGAGAGGCAGCCCTCGGGCGGCGGATTGGGGGAGGCGAAGATCACATGCTTCAGGTTGGGGGTCTTCCCGGCCATGGCGGGCAAAATAGCGGCGAACGTGTCGTCGACCACCAGCACGGTGGCGTCCGATTCGTTGATTTGATAGATGATTTCCGGCGGGGCGAGGCGGATGTTCAAGGGAACCATCACGCCGCCGGCCCAGAGGGTACCGTAGAACAACTCGAAGTAGCGGTATCCGTTGAGCATCAGGATAGCGACTTTGTCGTCGTCGCCGATGCCGAGCTTTTGCAGTGCCCCGGCGAGCCGCGGAATCCGCTCACCCTGCTCCTGCCAGGTCATCCGTGTTCCGCCGTCGAGAATCGCGGGTTGGTTGCGATACAGTTGCACCGCGCGACGCAGTGTATGCGTTACCTGCATTCGTAGTCTCCGCCCACTGAGGCTATTTGTTCTGATGAGGGGCGCGGTGGCGATTTGATCGAGAGGCCGGCCACGGCGCTGTAGACGAGCATGATTCTCGCACAACCAGCGCGCCGGTCAACAAAGAAATGTTTGAAGCACCTCTACCAGAGAAACGTTCTGGTGGAGGTGCCAAGCGTTGTAGGAAAGGGCAGAAGGCAGGCTGTGCTTAGGTTGCCAGCAATAGTCGCCCTGGCGTTTGGAGGAAGTTGATCACTTCGTTGAGGAAGCGAGCAGCCGTGGCACCGTCGATCAACCGGTGGTCGTACGACAAACTGAGTGGCATGTGCAAGCGAGGGACAAGATTCTCGCCCAAGTACACTGGCACTTTTCGCGAGCGGCCAATCAACAACACTGCAACTTCTGGGTGATTGATGATGGGGGTCGAATACTGCCCCCCGACGGCACCCATGTTGCTGATGGTGAACGTTCCGCCTCGCAGTTCATCTACGGAAAACTGCGACTTACGGGCGCGGCTGGCCACATCCATGATCTTCTTGGCAATCGTCGGAATGCTGAGTGTGTCGACATCCCGAATCACCGGAACGACAAGCCCCCGGTCGGTGTCGACCGCTACGCCAAGGTTTACATAGTCCTTGTAGATGACTTCCTCGCTCTCCATGTCGATCGAGGCGTTCATCATCGGATGTTGTCGCAAGGAATGCGCTACGGCCTTCATCACGAAGGCCATCATGGTCAGCTTCACGTTGGGGTGACTAAACTCGTTCGAGCTGTCACGCCGGATGTGCTCCAAGTCGGTGATGTCGGCATCGTCAAAGTTCGTGACATGCGGGATCGTCGATGCAGAACGAGCCATGTTTGTGGCGATCGTTCGACGGATCTTCGACATTCTCTCACGACGGATCGGCCCATAGGCGTCTTTGTCGCTCTCGCCAGATATAGCTTCCTTAGCGGCGGGCTCTGCTTTGGCTGCCGGGGCGGGGGCCTTGGCGCGAGCCGGGGCAGGAGATTCGCCTACCGATGCGTTCAGGTCCCGCACGGCCTTGATGACATCTTCGCGAGTAATCCGCCCGCTGGAGCCGGTGCCTTTCACACGACTAAGGTCGACTCCCAACTCGCGCGCCAAACGTCGGGTGGCGGGTCCCGCCGGGGCGGTGTCGTCATCCACGTCCTCAGAGTCGTCCTCTTCTGGGTCGCTCTCGGCTTTAACTGCCTTCTTCGGCTCTGGCTTGGGCTTCGACTCGGCGGCCGGTTTTTCTTCCTTCTCCGCTTTGGCTTCGACTTCGGTCTCTTCCTCTGCGGTTTCTTCTTCCGGTTTTTCCTTAGGAGCCTCTTCTTTGGCTTCTTTACCGCCTCCGGAATCTCCCCCTGAGAGCGTGAGCACCGGGTCGCCAACCGCGATCGTATCACCTTGGGATACGTGAATGGTTTCGATCTTGCCGGCCTTGGGGCAGGGGACTTCAACCACGGCCTTGTCGGTTTCGATTTCAACGACGGCCTGATTGGCTTCGATCTCATCCCCCTCGGAAACCATCACACTGACGATGTCACCCGAGTCGATGTTTTCGCCCAAATCCGGAAGCTTAAACTCGTAGCTCATTATGTTCTGGTCCCTACTGACCTTTGGATTGTTCTTAGTTGTTTCGTGGTTCTTATCGGTCGCTACGGCCGCTTGGTGAGCCGCCGTGCCAACTTACACCGAGTAAGTCTGGGTGAATGGGTCGGGTTTGTTGGGATTAAAGTCTAGCTTCTTGATTGCATCGGCCACGACGCTCGGTTCGCATTCGTTACGACGGGCCAAGGCATGCAGGCTGGCGATGGTGATCGACTCGGCGTCCACTTCGAACAACCGCCGCAACGGGGCCCGCATGTCGCTACGACCGAATCCGTCGGTGCCCAGGGTGGTGAGTCCGCCAGGGACCCAGGGGGCAATCTGGTCGGGTACGCCACGAACGTAATCGCTGGCCGCCACGAACGGACCGTCGAGCCCTTCGATGCATTCTTCGAAGTACGACTTTTTAGGCTCGCTGTCGGGGTGCAGCATATTCCAGCGGCGAGCCGTGTGGGCTCCCATGGCCAGTTCTTTGTAGCTGGTCACGCTCCACACGGTGCTGCCGATGTCGTAGTTCTCGGCGAGGATCTTCTGTGCCCGAAGCGATTCGCGGAGAATCGGTCCGCTGCCGAACAGCTGAACATGTGGGCGACCCTCGTCAGATTCAACCGTCGAAACGGCATACATCCCTTTAACGATCCCCTCTTCGACGCACTCCGGCATCGGAGGATGCACGTAGTTCTCGTTTTCAACGGTGATGTAGTAAATCGCGTCGTCGCCTTCCTGGTACATCTTCTTCATGCCGTCGAAGATGATGACAGCCGTTTCATAGGCATACGCAGGGTCGTAGCAGCGAACGTGCGGGAAGGCCGAAGCAATCAGGTGGCTGTGGCCGTCCTGGTGCTGCAAGCCTTCGCCGGCGAGCGTGGTTCGCCCCGCTGTAGCTCCCAGCATGAAGCCCTTGGCTCGACCATCGCCGGCAGCCCAGATCAAATCGCCAATCCGTTGGAAGCCGAACATCGAATAGAAGATGAAAAACGGAATCATGTGGATGCCGTGTGTCGTGTACGACGTGCCCGCAGCGATGAACGAGGCCATCGATCCGGCCTCGGTGATTCCTTCCTCCAAAATCTGGCCATCTTTGGCTTCGCGATAGTACAGCACCGTCTCCGAGTCGACCGGCTCATAAAGCTGGCCACTGTGGGCGTAAATACCGCACTGACGGAAGAGGGCTTCCATACCGAAGGTGCGCGATTCGTCGGGCACGATCGGCACCAGGTACTTGCCGATGCTCTTATCGCGAAGCAACTTCGCCAACAGTCGCACGAAGGCCATTGTGGTTGAGGCCTCACGGTCTCCGCTGCCTTCGAGGAACTCTTTGTAGTCGTCGACCTTCGGCACCTTCATGGGCATGGCCTGCATCGGCCGTCCCGGTACGAAACCGCCGAGTTTCTTGCGGCGGTCGCGGAGATACACCATCTCAGGGCTGTCGTCCGCGGGGCGATAGAAGGGCGCGGCGGCCACGTCTTCGTCCGAGATCGGGATTCCGAATCGGGTACGGAACTCGCGAAGCTCTTCCTCGTTCAGCTTCTTTTGCTGGTGAGAAATGTTGCGGCCTTCACCGGCTTCACCCAGGCCGTAGCCTTTCACGGTCTTAGCAAGAATTACCGTGGGACGATCTTTGGTGTTCACCGCTTCATGATAAGCGGCATACACCTTCTCGGGGTCGTGCCCACCACGTCGCATCCGCTTGATCTTTTCGTCGGACAGCGCCGCAGCCAGTTTTTGCAACTCGGGATCGGCGCCAAAGAAGTGACGTCGGATGTAATCACCCGAGCTGACGGTGTACTTCTGGTACTCACCGTCGACAATCTCACCCATGCGTCGCACGAGTGCTCCCGTGTGATCTTTGGCCAGCATGGGGTCCCAGTCGTCGCCCCAGATTACCTTGATCACATTCCAGCCGGCCCCGCGGAAGATACCTTCCAACTCTTGGATGATCTTGCCGTTGCCGCGAACCGGCCCGTCGAGACGTTGCAGGTTGCAGTTGATGACAAAGATCAGGTTGTCGAGCTGCTCGCGCGAGGCCAGCGTGATGGCCCCCAGCGTTTCGGGCTCATCGGTTTCACCATCGCCCAGGAACGCCCAAACGTGCGATCCGCTGGTGTCTTTGATCTTACGATCGGCCAGGTACTTATTCATCCGGGCCTGATAAATCGCCGTGATGGGGCCCAAGCCCATCGAGACCGTTGGGAATTCCCAGAAGTACGGCATCAGCCAGGGGTGCGGATACGAAGTTAAGCCCCCGGTGAAGGTCACCTCCTGGCGGAAGTGTTCCAACTGCTGTTCCGTGAGGCGGCCCTCCAAAAACGCCCGTGCATAGATGCCCGGCGAGGCGTGGCCTTGGAAGTAAATCTGGTCGCCAGAGTAATCGTCGCTCTTACCCCGGAAGAAGTGGTTGAAGCCAACTTCCAACAAGGTGGCCGACGACGCATAGGTGGAAATGTGTCCGCCGATGCCAGAATGCTCTCGGTTGGCCCGCACGACCATGGCCATAGCGTTCCAGCGGATGATGCTCTTAATACGTCGCTCGATCTCGCGGTTGCCCGGGTAAATGGGCTGCTTCGAGACCGGAATCGAGTTGATGTAAGGCGTGTTGGCGGTGAAGGGAAGTTCGACACCTCCGCGGTGGGCCGCCTCACTGAGTTGGGCCAGCAAGAACTTGACGCGTTCTGGGCCTTCACGATCGAGCACGTACTGCAACGACTCCAACCACTCATTGGTTTCGGCTGGGTCAGCGTCGTTGGGAACTCGAGAGCGTTCGATGTCGCTGGTGGCCATGAGGGACCTCGTCCTTTTCTAAAGGGCGTATGGGTTTTGCCTTATTATCCGCGTCGCGCCGATTTGCGTAAAGGGATGCCTGGTTTTCGGTTAGCGTCACCAGGGTAAGGGTTGGCACTAAGCTTGCTGCCGCTGTCGCTTGGGTCGGTAGATTTCCGTGGCAATTCCTAAATAAGACTCGGCGGCGAAAGCAAACGTTTCGCTAAGGGTCGGGTGGGGGTGGATCGATTCGGCGACATCGCGAGCAGTGCAGCTCATTTCGATGGCCACGACGGCCTCGGCCACGAGCTCGCCTGCCCCCGTGCCAACAAACCCGGCACCAAGGATTCGCTCGGTCTCCGGGTCGATGAGCAGTTTGGTCAGGCCGTCGGTGATGCCCAGGGCCTGAGCTCTTCCGCTGGCAGCCCAGGGGTAACGACCGACCTCGACCTTAATATCGTCACGTTTTGCCTCAGTCTCCGTTAATCCCGCCCAAGCGATCTCTGGGTCGGTAAAAACGACCGCAGGGATAGCAAGACTGTCAAAAGCCGCAGGACCGCCATGAAGGGCTTCAACGGCAACTTTGCCTTCGTGTGAGGCCTTATGGGCGAGCATCGGTTCGCCGGCAATATCGCCAATGGCAAGAATATGGGGATCGGCCGTGCGCTGCTTATCGTCGACTACGGCAAACCCCTGCGGGGTCAGCTCGACCTCGGTATTTTCCAGGCCAATGTCTTGGCTGTTGGGGCGACGACCAACCGAGACAAGAACACGGCTGAAGTTCAGCGTCTCCTGCCCATCGGGGCCGTTGATCTCAACAGCCACCCCGTCGCCTTCTTCGCGGAGCGACTCGACCTTCGTTTCCAGGCGGATCGACTTGAAGAGTTTGCTCAACCGGGTGTGAAGCGGCTTGACCAAGTCACCATCCACGCCGGGCAACAAACTGCCGGTCAGTTCGACGACTGTGACCTCCGCGCCGAGTTGGGCATAGACGGTACCCATTTCCAACCCGATGTAACCCCCGCCGATGACCAGAAGCGACTTTGGAACATCGGCAAGGTTCAAGGCACCAGTGGAGTCCATCACCCGATCGCTACCAATATCGAATGCTTTCAACTTTGTCGGACTGGAACCGACCGCTAGCACGCAGTGGTCGTAGGTGAGTTGGGTATCGTCAAGCGACCCGCCATCGACCGCCTCGAGCCGCAGAGTCGTGGAGTTCTCAAACTGGCCGTTCGCTTGGATGACATTGACTTTGCGTTTCTTCGCCAGCTGCTTGAGCCCGCCCGAGAGTGTATTGATGACTTTTTCTTTGCGCTCCCGCATTGTGTCGACATCGACGCTGGGGGCTTCGTAGCTCACGCCCCATTCACCCAAGTCGCGGGCTTCGCTGATTACCTTCGAAACGTGCAGCAGAGCTTTCGAGGGAATGCAACCACGCAGAAGGCAAGTGCCGCCCAAGCGTGGATCGCGTTCGACGAGGGTGACCTCCATACCAAGATCGGCCGCCATGAATGCGGCGGCGTACCCTCCTGGCCCGCCTCCCAAAACAACTAGTTGCGAATGCATGAAGTCCGTTTCCTCGTCTTAGAGGTGCTCGAGGATCACTCGGTGGGTCGCAGTTCTCTTTCAAGCAAGAACCACGATCTCGTGGCGAGCCGCAGGTATGCCGACATTACGAAAACGCCAGCAGCATAACGGCTTACCAGTACCGAAGTGCCCTGGCATGCGTTATCTTACCGGCGTTCTGTCATTTCATACAAGGACTGCCAGAACCAGAGGTGCCTCGCAAAGGGCGCATTTGACCTGCAGCATGAGTGGGCCGCGAACTTACTATCACCTTCGTGAATACTGAACGTCGAATCGGTGACTTATTTCACAAAGTTCATGGAGCTTTCATATGGCTGAACCGACCACGAATACGGCAGATGCGATTGTTATCGGCTGTGGGGTCGCTGGAGCCAGCACGGCCATGCAACTTGCCAACCGCGGGCTGAAGGTGATTGTTGTCGATCGCGGAATGCTGGGCTCCGGCTCGACCGGCCGAGCGGCCGGGTTACTTGGACAGTTGCGTTCGACCCGGGCCGCCACCGCCATGCTGATGGACGGAATCGAGATTGTACGTGAGTTAGAACGAACGACCGGCGCGGAGATTTTCGTTCAAACCGGGTCGCTGCGCCTAGCTGCCGACGAACCACGCGCGGCAGAGATTCGTGATCATGTGGCGATGGGAAAGGCCATCGGGTTCGACATCGACCCCATGGACCGCCAGCAGGTGGCCGAGTTGTTGCCGTACATGAAATGCGACGACCTGATCGGCGCTTGCTATTGCCCCACCGACGGTCATCTGCAGCCGGCCGAATTACTCGCAGCCTATGTCCAAGTCGCCCGCGATGCTGGAGTGGCGTTCTACCCGAACACTCCGATGGAGTCCTTGCTCACCTCAGGCGGCAAAGTCACAGGAATTCGTGCCGGAGGGCAGGAATTCTTTGCCCCTGTGGTCGTCAACTCTACTGGTCCATGGTCGTATCTCACCGCCGAGCGATGCGAAACCCGATTACCAACGGCGGCGATCGGCCACTGTTACCTCACGACACAGCCGCAGGAAGAAATACCGATCGATCGGCGTAGTCCCGCCATTCGCGATCGTGCGAATCGCATCTACTCCCGGCCCGAAGCCGGGGGACTGATCGTCGGCTGTTACGAGGCCGATCCACCCACCTACGACATGGCGGCACTCGACGACGATTTCGATATGTCGCAGATGCGGGCGGCCCGAAATGATATTCATGTGGCCACGCTCATCGACGCCGCACAGCGCCGGTTCCCCTTCCTGAACGAACGCTCTGCGATGTCGGTCACTGTCGGCATCATGACGTTCACGCCGGATGGTCGTCCATTCTGTGGGCGAATGCCGGATATCGAGGGGCTATTCCACTGCTCTGGGTTCTGCGGGCATGGCATCGTGCAAAGCCCCACCATCGGTCGCATCATGGCCGAGTTGATCGTCGATGGCCGATCAAGCTACGACATCAGCGAGATCGAAGCCGATCGGTTGTTTGAAGAGGCTGAGCTGTTCGATCGTAAGAACGTGGAGGGACGATGCTTGGAGACTGCATCGTCGTATTACGGAGCCGTGGCCGTAACCGATGGGTCGAAGTAAGTGCTGCGGGAGAACCCCGCCTTAAGACACCACAAGCTCTTCGCAGGGGGTTGTAAGCAGTTGTTCCACTTCCGGCATCAGCCCATACGCCAGAGCCATCAGTTTCAATGGGTGGATGGTCGGCTTCTCGGTGCCCTGTTCCATCTGAATCTTACAAGCACTGCACTCGGTCGTGCCGCCTTGAAGGCTCGGGTGTCGCAAGCTAGTAATCAGCCCCCAGCCTGCTCTTAGGCTGTCGCGGAAGTTTTCCTGTTTCAACCCGAAGGTACCCGCCATGCCCGAGCAACCACTTTCGGTCCGGTTCACCTTCAATCCGGGGACCAGACCCAGCAAGTGAAACGCGGGTTCACCGATCTCGAGTGCCTTCATATGGCACGGTTGATGATAGCCAAGCGAAGTGTGAATGGGCTGCATGTCCAGACGCAGCTTCTGCTGCTGGTGCATCGTCCACAGATAGTGACACGCCTCGCTCGAGTTCTCGGCCACCAGGCGGGCATCGGAATCTTCAAGCAGAATGGGGTACTCGTAAGTCAGGCATAACGCCGCAGCCGGTTCGGTGGCCACGATGTGATAGCCTTGCCGCACCGCTTCAACCAGGATGCCCACGTTGTGTGCTGCCATACGGCGGGCCTTATCGATCATACCTGCAGAGATGAGAGACATGCCCGAAGGAAGTTGCGCAGGGTGCACATACACCGAAATGCCGTGGTGCTCGAGCACCGAGACCAGCGATTCGGCTAGCTGAGGATCGTGGTAGTTGGCGTAGGTGTCAACGAAGTACAAAACTTTGGGACCATCGCCTGTGGGTGGTCGCGTCAGCCTGCGACGTGCGGCGGTGCGGAGAAAGCTACGTGACGCGTATCTTGGCAGTTTGCGCTCGTGAGCCAGCCCTAATAGTTTCGCCAGAAACCACCGGGTCTGCGGATTGCGGATGATCCAGTTCGAGAAACGCCACAATCGAGCCCCGATGGCGCTGATCAAATCGAGCCTGGCCAGCAATCGATCGCGAAGCGGGAGGCCGTTGACCGCCACATACTCGCCCTTGGCTTCCATCACCAGCCGTGGAATATCCACGCTAGCCGGACACTCAAGGCGACACATCTGGCAGTTCACACACAGGTCGGCCACCGCCTTGAAGTCATCTTTCGAAACCGTCTCCGGCGGAAGTTGTCCGGTAAGCACCGCCCGAACCAGGTTCGCCTTTGCTCGGGGTGAAGCTTCTTCGCGGGGGGCGAAGCGAAAGATCGGGCACATCCGCACTTCGGAACTCTGGCTCCGGCAGGCACCACATCCATTGCAGGCTCGAGCCATGTGAGCCATTTCGTTCGGAGTCCAGTGCAACTGCAGCGGTACGACCATGGGAGGAAGCTCAGCGACGGCTTCCTCGCCCGTCGCGCTTCTCGCAGCAACCGCTGGCAAGTTGACTGGCCGAAGTCCGGTACCGATTGGAAGTGGATCGTCGGTGACGATCTTGCCTGGGTTTAGGATGTTGTGTGGATCGAAGACACGCTTCACTTCGCGGAACGTGCTGTAAAGCTGCTGATACTGCCGTTCGACAAACGGAGTACGGGCCAAGCCATCGCCGTGCTCACCACTCACCGTCCCTCGCGCATCCAATACGGCCGCATAAACATCGTCGGTCAGCCGCCGCAAGGTGGTTACGTCGCGGTTTTCGGTAAGGTCGAGAAACGGGCGAAGGTGAACCTGCCCTTGTAGGGCATGAGCAAACAACGAAGCGGTGACTTGGTGACGTTTCAGAATGTTCTGGATCTCAACCAGGAACCGAGGCATTACCTCGGGGGCAACCGCCATGTCTTCGATGAACGGCAACGGACGGGTTGAGCCCTTCAGTCGATACAGCGTTGGAACTACTTTACGTGAAAGGTCCCAGAATAGCTGCATCTGCTCATCGTCGAAGCCAATCCTCGTATCGAATGCCAGCGACCGAGTCCCTGTAACTTGTTCAACTACCTGATTCGCTCGTCGTCGAACTTCCTCTGTGTCGTCGCCTTCAACCTCGACAAGCAAAGCCGCCTCGGCTTGAGGGGCGATCAGCAAGTCATAACGGACATCGGTATCGCGAGCCAAGCTAAGACATCTTCGATCTAACAGCTCGCAGGCCGTGGGCCGCAAATGCGCCAGTTCCAGCGAGGCCCGAGCAGCCGCTTCAAGTTGTTCGAAAAGGAGAAGCACCAGGGCTTGATGCTTCGGGAGCGTGTCGGTGCGAAGCGTGGCCTCGGTGATGATTGCCAGCGTACCTTCAGATCCGCATAGCAACTTGGGCACATCGATCGAGTCTTCCAGCAGAGCATCGCGGAGAAGGTACCCACTCGAGTTCACCAAAGTTCGCGGTTGGTTCTTTCGGATAACTTCTGCTGATTCAGTGAGTACCGTATCTAGTGAGGCGAGTAGTGACGTTTTGCGATCATTCAGGGCAGGGTGGGGGCCAGGACGCGGTTCGCACCCTAGCTCGCAGAGTGTTCCATCCGCCAGCACTGCTTGAACACTGACGACGCGATCGCGAGTTGAACCATACCGGGGCCAGCGAGCACCACCCCCGTTGACGGCAATCACGCTTCCCATTGTCGTGACACGGCTCGTGGCAGGGTCCGGTCCGAACACCCTGCCCGAGGCCTGAAGGTGAAGATTCAGCCGATCTAAGACCAAGCCCGGCTGGATACGAACGGTATCCCCCGTGGTCTTTAGCACCCGGCGAAGATGCTTCGAAAAGTCGAGCACGATGCCTCCGCCCAGCGATTGACCGATCAGGCTGGTTCCCGCCCCTCGGGCATGGATGGGCAGGTTGTGCTCGTTGGCATATTGCACGCAAGCCACCACGTCGGCCGTGGTGCGAGGCATTGCCACCGCGAGTGGACGAATCTGATAGACACTGGCGTCGCTCGCATACAACTGCAGAAAGATGTCGTCGCAGCGCACTTCACCCTGAAGCACACCGCGCAGGTCTTCCTGGATGCGAACTCGCTGTTCGTCCATTACCGTTAGCTCTGAGACTCGAAACCACCTGGATACATCCGATGATAGGCCATCGGACCGGTGAAGTCAGTGAGAAAGGGCAGCCAATGGCATTCGGTGCATCGGCCGATAGTTCGCTTGAGTAGTTGAAAGTTGCCGCTAACTACTAGCGGCCAGCAAGCAGGCGTCGCATCCAAACCGTCAACGATTCCCGCCATAGATCAAGGTCATCACTTCCGAGCGACTGGACAAATTCGACCGGAACAGCCCCCGCATGGCCGAAGTAACGCACAAGCTGCCGGGCTTGCGAATTCCTCGGATCGTCATGCAGCTATGGGTGGCCTCGATCACGACGGCCACTCCCTTCACCTGCAATTCTTCGACCAGCAAGTCGGCCACAGTTTCAGTCATTCGCTCCTGCACTTGAGGTCGTCGGGCCACCACATCGACCACTCGGGCCAGCTTGCTCAGGCCGATCACCTTCCCATCGGGTACATAACCGATGTGGGCCTTGCCCATGAATGGCAACATGTGGTGCTCGCACATACTGTTGAAGCTTATGTCGCGAACCAGCACCACCTCGTCGTACTTCTCGGTGAAGAACTTCTGTAGGTGAATCCGAGGATCTTCATGTAGCCCGCTGAACAACTCGGCATACATGCGGGCGACCCGGGCGGGCGTTTCAAGCAAGCCTTCCCGGTCGGGGTCTTCCCCCACGGCAGCCAGAATCTCTCGCACGGCCCTTTCGATACGGGCATGGTCAACCCCACTGCCCAGAGGCTTGTCGCCAGCCGTTTCAAGATCGTCGTCGGCGCAGCCACCGCCGTTGCTAAGTGCGGAGTCGTTTCGCGAAGTCATATATCTATGAACCTGATCGTTTAGTTGCGTCCCCGTCAGAGCGAGGACGCCAAGAGCGTACCTAAGGTGGGATATACCCCACGTTTCCACCCATCGGATCGTATGAGTGCGACAGCCCGCGGTCAAGTCGCCGTAATAGGCCTTCCCGGCGTCAGTTCTGACTGAAATCCGGAGGGAATTGCTCTGGATGCTTCTCGCTCGACCCTTGGGAATCTTGCAGATGTTCGAGCAACAACTCAATCCGGCGGTCGATGTTGAACTCGCACAGAATGCGCGTTTTCAAAGACAGGGGGATCGGCAAGCTGTAAGCCAGTAGATCGGCTAGAACGCCAAGCGCGGTTTCGGCCCCGAGCATTTCTTCGACCTGCACGTGTTGTTTCACCACCTCTGGTACCGAGTGCCGAACCGAATCTAACAGTTCCCGCTTCAACTCGCGGCGGTGGGTGGCTCCCTCGGGCAGACAATAGTCGCCTCGCAATTCGGCCTTCGCCACACGAAACGCCCGCGGAGGGTTCAGCTCTTCCCCCAGTGCAACACGGCCCAGGCCTTGCAGCAACAAGTGGTAGCGACCGTCTTCAAGCTGTTGGCTTTGCACTATCTGACCAAGGCACGCCACCGGGTAGAGGGCCGGGCGACTTTCGTATTCAGCTTCCCAGCCAGGTTGCAGTACGGCCATGGCAATCAGCCGATCGCCGTTCAGTGCATCTTGAGTCATCTCGCGATAGCGAGATTCGAAGATGTGCAGTGGCTGCAAAACGTGCGGGAACATGACCAGGTTTGGCACCGGAAAGAGCCGAGCCTGCCCTGAAAAGCTCGCGGGGTCGAAGCTGAAATCGTTGGGAGTTCCCATGGATCACTCAATAAATGCTGGACGAATACGCGCGCGCTCCCTCCGCCTCGATCTTACCTTACACCTTCGTTCAACTCGTCGATCGTGACGGTCGTGCGAAGAATAAGGGAACATTTGCGGCAAATCCCACACTTCCAGCGGGAATGAAGGACCGCCCGATGTCATTCTATTGTCACGGCAAGCACTCGCTTGACAGAACGTGGCTTCCCCCGATCATGGCCTCTAAGTACTCCCTCTCTGGGATATAGGGATGAAGCACGCGAAGAACAACGTGGAGTCTGTGATGCCGGAAGATTTTACCGGGTTCTTGAAATTCGCCACCCGACGTGACAACAGTCCGGCCCGTTTTTTGGAAGCGGAACACTGGCAGTTGCAGAAAATCGCCCCCGGGCAACTCGAGGTGCAGTGCCACCTGCCCGACCAGGTTTTGAACTCCGCCGGGATGCTCTTCGGTGGATTCACACCCACGTACATCGACTTGATCGCCATCTGGGCCTCGATGACGACCCTCGAAAACACCACCGCCTGGATGATCACGGTGAATATGAGGGTCGATTACTTCGAGCCGATCGTTCCGCCGGGGTTTCGGGCCGTGGCACGGGTGCTGAATGTCCGTAAGCGCGATTACTTTGTAGAAACCCGCTTCGAAGACGAACGGGGCACGCTGCTGGCCAACGGGTTGACCACACTTCGCAAGCGAGGCGAAATGCCACTCGAGGTGTTAACCCAAAATGCAGTCGACGACGAAGGCTAGTCGAGCACCACTTCTTCGTGGTCGGACGATGGGATGAATGGCCATCCCGTGAGCACCAAGGTCATCACGACCCCCACCAGCAATCCCTGCCACGCGCCGAACAGCACAAGCACCATGCCAGTCGACATCGCGACACCGCGTTCGACGTTGTTTCGCGGTAATGCCATCCCGATATAGCCGCAAGCAAAACCGGTAAGCAAGATCGTCATCGAAAGCGCCACCGGCAACATCGGTTCCAGGAAACTGGTGATTGGTTTCACGAACAGCAGAATCGGAATGCCCCAGAAATAGTACGCCCCGATTCCGCCAAAGATCGAATCCATCGCCTTGCGGCCATCCTTGTAGCGTTCGGTAACCACGACTTGCACGCCGGTCCACAGGGGGCCATGCACCACCGGAAACGGTCCGGCGGCCAGCGCCTGCAGAGCATTGCGAATGCTGATGTTGAAGTGAGTCCGTGTGGGATTAATGTCCAGCTTTTCGTCGGGACGATGCGGCATGGCCGAACGGAGTAATTCGTTGGCCGTGATGATATCGCCGAAGCCAATGATGTAGACAATCACGGCCAAGGGGACCACTTGCCAGAGCACCATCGACCAGAATTCTGAGTCGCTTGGAAGTCCTAAGCTCAAGGGGCTGAGCTGCTCGTACATTTCCGCGAACGGCGGCGAGTGGATTCCCCATTCCACGTTGAATTGAAACTCGTTGGCCATGCTGCCAACGATCATGGCCACAAGGAAACCAGGGGCGAGCCCCAATCCCGCAAGAATCGCGATCCAACGGTATTTGTGCTTCAGTCTCGCGATAGGAACCGAGAACATGAGGATCAAACAGATTGCCACCGCACAGGTAGCACTCAATGGTGCCCTTGCCAGATAGCTTTTGGTCCCCTCGCCGAAAGAGAATTCGTGATGGAACGCGGCAACCGCTGCACCGAAGATGATGCCGGCCTTCAGCGGAATGGGAATCTGCTCGACAAACACCCTTCCCAACCCGGTTATACCAGCCAGAAAGAAGATTGCCGCGCAGGCCAAGGTGAAGACCGTGACTAGTTGAATGAGCCGCATCTGGTCCATGCTTGGCTCTTCGATCACATGGCCCATCAACGCCAGCACTAACGGAATGGCCGGCGTGATCCAGCCATGACAGTAGGGATCACCAAAAATCAGCGGGGCCGACGCGATGAGAAACGACTGCACGATAACCACTGCCAGGGCCACTTCGAAAGAGAGCCCCAGGTAACCGACAAGAATCGGGATTAACCCCATGCCCGTCGCCCCGGCCACCACTAAACCCTGAATGGTCTCCGGCCATTCGAAGCGGAAATGGTAGAAAGGAATCCGGAGCGTGAACATCCCCCAATGAATTCCCGGCTGTTCCTCACCATCGACACGTCGTTTAATAACCCACCTCGCTGTCCAATGTTCGAGAAAAATTGCTTTGTCTACAGGACGCAGTTAACGGAGTTTCAGTGTGTCGCATCAAAGTTCCGGAGCAACCTTCCACTCTCTGCGTTCCATCTGTTCCGCGGCCTGTGCGGCAATATCTAGTCCCACCAAAGAGCCCCAAGCTTGTAGAAGCCTCATCGTCACCGGTCCCACCTTTCCATCTCCCACCGGAAGACCGTTGAACCGTGTGGCTGGCATCATGCAGTAGGGTGTACTCGTGAAGAACAACTCATCGGCTGTGTAAAGGTCGTAAGCTGCCAGATCCATCTCGCGGACCGCAATGCCGAGTTCCTGGGCCAACTCGATGACCGTCTCCCGCGATATACCCGCCAGTGCATTCCGAGCCACCGGTGTTTGCAACACTCCGCCAGAAACGGCGAACAAGTTGCCGCCCTTGTTCTCGGCCACATCGCCGTCCACGTCTAGAATCACCCCTTGCGCCTCGGGATCGACCAGTTTCACTTCAATCTCGGCCATCGTATACGGCAGCCGGCTACAGTTCTTGATCCGCGCATCGAGCGCCTGGGGCGGCACAGCTCGGCTCATCGCTGTCACTGCATGACAGCCTTGTTCGTAATATTCGGCCCAATCCCTCAGGTCCAGCGGCCAGCAGTAAATCACTACGGTGGCCCGCGATCGCTGCCGCGTGGGGTCGGCCCCTGAAACCGCCAAGCCGCGACTAATGTTGTGCACGATCCAATAATCGTCCTGGTCACCAATCAGCGGTAAGTTGGCCTCGAGCACCTCCAGCGAAATCCGCGTCAGCTCCTCCGGCGAATAGCCGGGTTCGATTCGCGTTACTTTCAGCGACCGGTAAAGTCGCTCGATGTGCTGTTCGAGCTTGAAAGGGCGGTGCCCAAACGTACGAGTCGACTCGGTGACCGTGTCTCCGAGCTTGAACCCTGAATCGAAGATGGAAATCTTCGCGTCGCATTCAGGGACCATCTGCCCGGAGAGAAACACCTGCCGCATACCGTCGTCCACTTGAAGTGCAGAGAACCCAAGAGCCCACCAATCGCGACGCTAGTGTAGAGAAGGTTTTCGCGGTACTCAAGCAATTGCAATAACTTTGGCAGACTGCGTCCGGTTGGACACGGCGCAAAAAACAGCCCCGCATGCGATCGTGAGATCAGTCAGGCGAGGCTGTACCGAGGAAATCGTCGATTGCTTACTGTGACTAGTTCAATTCGTCCTCGGCGGCGGTAACAAACGGCTCGAACATGTTCGCGAAGGCACCGCGATCGATGTGGGCCAGGTACAGTTCATCGTAGAAGACGTCCAGCGTAGCAGTGGTCAACCAGAAGTCGCTGCTGAAGAGCAGGCCATAGTCATTCATCAAGATACGACCAACTGTGATGTCGAGATTCTTTTCGCGAACCGCGTGATAGAGTTCAACGGTCGGCTGAAAGCCCTCGGGGAAGTCGAGCAACCAACTGTAGATGTAAACGATCTTAACGGGGTTGCCATTGGTGTCGTTGTACATCGTCACTTCCCAGGCTGTGATGACTGAGACTTCGCCGTCGGCTTCGTAGGTGATGCGGTAGGTGTCATTCTCCATTTTACGGTAGGCCAGCCCTGAGGCGTCCAGTAACTCTTCCAGCGAGGAGAACCCTGCCGCGGCCGGTTCAACCTGCTGTTCAGTTTCCCCCTCGGGGTTTGTCAGCGTCACTTTTCCGTTGTCGGCATACGCGGCTGTGGCACTCAGCGAGAGGCCAACAAAAAGAACCAAAGCGGCGAGACCTTCGTGAAACTTCAACATCGGATTTCTCCCTCGGTAAAAAGATGGCCCAGATGGCAGAGAGCCCGCCAGGGGCAGTTTAGATCCAGAGCGGGGCGGCCTGTCGCAGTGCGTTTCAGGCTTCGTCCCTCACTCGCTTACGTAAGGTTTGACGCACAACGTTTGCGAGAGTTCCCTGGCGCGAAGATTTTTTCTCTTGACTCACAGTTCTTTCTTGTGAGCCTCCCCCGGGGTGTGGCATCATGAGGCTGTTTTGCTGCTGAACCATGATTGTTTCGCCCGGGAACCAACTGGCAGAGTATTGGAATGTCTGAAGGCGACGAGCAAACCGAAGCTGAACAGAACCAGCGGAAACGCCGCGGAGCACGGGTGCTTAAGGGGATCGGCATCCTGATCTTCCTGGCCGTTCTCTACTTACTCCTGTGGCCTTCGCCCATCGATCCCGTGGCCTACCGCCCGGCCGTTGCGCCGGAGATGACTGGCCTGCTGGAGCCGAACGAAAAGCTGCGCGATGCCGAAGTCCTCGCCGCAGGTCAGGTGGTTGGCCCGGAAGATGTGGCGGTTGATTCCGAGGGGCGAGTGTATGGTGGAACCGTCGACGGTCGGGTCATTCGCATCTCTGCGGACGGGGCACTCGAAACGTTTGCCGACACTGGCGGGCGACCGCTGGGGATGGAGTTCGACGCCAACGGAAACCTGATTGTGGCCGACGCCGTGCTGGGGCTGATCTCGATCGACCACGAAGGCAATATCACCGAGTTGGCCAATTCGGCCGGCGGGGTTCCTTTCGGATTTGCCGACGATCTCGATATTGCTTCCGACGGGCGGATTTACCTTTCCGACGCCAGCGACACCTACGGGGTGCACGATTATCTCTACGACATGCTCGAAGCCCGACCGCACGGGCGGTTGATTCGCTACGACCCTGACACCGGAGAATCTGAAGTCCTGCTTGACGGGTTGTACTTCGCCAACGGGGTGGCCGTGGCCGAAGATGACAGCTTCGTACTGGTGAACGAAACGTACCGCTATCGAATTCGCCGCTATTGGCTCACCGGTGAGAAGGCCGGCACCGACGAGATCTTCATCGACAATCTCCCCGGATTCCCCGACGGTGTTTCGCGAGGCAGTGACGGTCGCTTCTGGGTAGCCATGTTCACAGTGCGCAATGAAACCGCCGACGACCTCCATCCCCGTCCGTGGCTTAAACGCCTGCTGGCCAAACTCCCCAGCTTCGTCTGGCCCACCCCCGAGGCCATCGGCTTCGTGCTGGCAGTTGATAAGAATGGAGAGATTCTAGAGAGCCTGCAAGATCCTGGCGGCGAAGTGATCAACGAAGTCACCTCGGTGCACGAAGACAACGGCACCCTCTACTTCGGCACACTCCGCGGCGACCGCATCGGTAAATACAAGCTGCCATAGCGACAGCGGTGCTTGTGCCCAGCTGCTCTACGCTAAGATGTCTTTGACGATGTGAACCTCGTCCACCCCGGTCAGCTTCTCGTCCAAACCGTTGCGGTTGAAGACCAACTTCTCGTGGTCGAGTCCCAGGAGGTGCAGCACGGTGGCATGCCACTCGCTGATGCTTACGGGGTTTTCGACCGCAGCGAAGCCGAGGTCGTCGGTCGTGCCGTAGGTGAGGCCCGCCTTCACGCCTCCGCCGGCCATCCAACCACACATGGCCCGTTTGTTGTGATCGCGCCCAGCGTTCGACTCGCTATCGTCGCTGCGTAACTGCGCGATTGGCAGTCGCCCCATCTCTCCGCCCCAAAGAACAAGTGTCTGATCAAGCAAGCCCCGCTGTTTCAAATCTTTCAGTAAGGCCGCAATCGGCTGGTCGGTTCGCTCGCAGGCCGATCGCAATTCCGAGGCAATTTTTGAGTGGTTGTCCCAAATCTGTCCATCGATAAACAACTGCACGAACCGCACGCCCCGTTCGACCAAACGACGGGCCATCAGGCAGCGGCGTCCATAAGAGTCGGTCGGTTCGCGACCGATTCCATACGCGTCCAGCGTCGCCTGACTCTCTTGCGAGATGTCGAGCACGTCGGAGGCCACCAGTTGCATCCGGGCCGCCAACTCATAACTGGAAATACGGGCATCCAGCCGCGGCTCGCCCGGGTGCGATTGCCGGTGAATCTCATCCAGCTCTGATATCAAATTGCGACTCAGCTCGGTGACCAGATCGGGTTCGCTGAAGTCGCGGTCGAGATTCAGCACTGGCGAGCCCGTCGAACGGAAACGCGTGCCTTGATACACCGGGGGTAGATAGCCCGACTGCCAGTTCTGCGTTCCATTGACCGGCAGTCCCTTCGGATCGTCGAGCACCACGTATGCCGGCAGGCTTTGGTTCTCGGAGCCAAGTCCGTAACTGATCCACGAACCCATCGTTGGCTGGCCGGGCAACATGCGGCCGCTTTGAATCTTGAAAATCGCCGGCTCGTGAGTGATGTTCACCGTATGCATCGATCGCAGCAGCGTGATATCGTCCACGCACTCGGCCAAGTGCGGCATCACCTCGGAGACCCACGTGCCAGACTCGCCGTGCTGCGCGAACTTATAGGGGCTGCGGAACAAGGCCCCCGCTTCGGCAGGGAACTCAACATCAGCCGCGATCTCGTCGAAGTACGGCTGACCATGACGGCGATCGAGTTCCGGCTTGGGATCGAACAGATCCATCTGACTCGGACCACCGTTCATGAAGAGCTGAATCACGGAAGTCGCCCGCGGCGTGAAATCGGGCGCACGACGCTTCAGATCGAACACGCCACCGGCCCCACGATCGCTTGCGAACAGGTCGTCGCCCAATAATGAAGCTAGCGCGGTGCCCAGCATGCCACTGCCAACTTGCTGGAAGAAGCCGCGGCGATTCGATGCGTTTCTTAGCGAGTGAAGCGACATGCTGCAAATCCTCTAATCGATGTAGACGAGCGTCGCGGAGTTGAACAAGGCGTGACAATAGGTGTGCAGAGCCCGTCGTGCCGCCGCCTCTGGGTTGGGTTCCGAGCTATGCACAACCAGCCGCGGAGGATTGTGCGTCTGCCCGTACACGCCGTCATCCCAATCGCGGCGGTACACCACGCCGTCTTCGTCAGCCATCAACACCAGGGCCAGCTTTTCGCCCGCCGCAATCCGTCGGCGAAGTAGGGCAAGGTCTTCGGCCGTGGCTTCGTTCGTTTCGGCATAGTTGCCAATTCGATCGGAGACAGCGGCCGCAGCATAGTGGCCCAGTCCGGTGAGCACTTCCAAGTGGGCCGCCTTCTCATCCTGAAACCTTCTCCAGGTCAAACCGTCGATTCCTGCAGGCATGGCCGCTGCTGTTTGACGAATGGCATGGTCGTCGGTGGTTCCCAACTCCAGACGCGCATCGATGACGTCAATATCGCGTAGCGAACTCAGGTCGAATTCAATCACCCCAAACCGGCGTCCATTCTCCCCGGCACCGCTCGACCAGACAGAAACGAGATCGTCCTCCGACACCCGATCGGGCTCGATCTCCCGCAACCACAGATGCTTGTCGGCAACCAGAATGTGCTCGGTTCCCGGGTCGGCCTCAAACCACTTGGCAGCAATTTGTTCCAGAGCCGCAATACTGGCAGAGCGCTCGGCAGGCGTCGGCGGGCGTGAGGCGACCATTCGATAGACCGCTTCAACCTGCTCGGTGGTATTCCCGCCCGTTTGCTCCCACACCTGTTCGGCGAACGCACCGGCCAGCTGGTAAACCATTTGATTGTTTGTCAGGTGCAATGCCTGCGGGGCGACGATCGACTCGGTGCGTTCGATATTGTTAGGGTCCATCTGGGCAACGTCGAAGTTGCTCAAGATCGTCAATGGCTGGGTGCGCCGCTTCTGCATATAAACACTGCGGCGATATTTTCCTTCGCGCGGGGCCGAAGTTACCAAACCATCAGGCCGAGACTGCACTGCATCGGGCGGTCCAAACGGCGTTAAGTCCAGCTTGCCTGCCAAGGCCAGCAGCGTATCACGAAGCACTTCCCCTTCCATCCGCCGCAACGGCATCCGACTCAGCAACTTATTCTCAGGATCAAGCTCCAGATGCTCTGGCGTCACTTGTGACGACTGACGATAAACCGACGAGTTCATGATCAGCCGGTGCAGAGACTTGACGCTCCAGCCGTCCTTCACAAACTGCACAGCTAGCCAGTCGAGAAGCTCAGGATGCGTTGGCGGAGTTCCCGTCTTGCCGAAGTTGTCCAGCGTCTTGACGATCCCCGTGTCGAAATGGTGCTTCCACACGCGGTTCACCATCACTCGAGCCGTGAGCGGGTGATCATCCTTAACCATCCAGCTCGCAAGGGCTAAGCGGCGACCCGTCGACTTCGCCCCCGGCCGAGGCGGTTTCACTTCGAACGGAGTTTTTCCGTCGGTCAGTACCGAAGGCACGCCCGGCCCAACGAGCTTGTCGGGCGTCAGGTAATTCCCTCGAGAAAGAATATACGTGGGCGACGGCTCCCCCCGATCCCACAAGGCCCGAACCAGCGGTTGATCTTCCGGCTTGCCACCAGCTTGTTCCCATGCCTCACGCTCGGCGTCGGTCACATAAGGCAAGTAGCGATCCCGTTCGCCAGGCGGGTGATCAGTATTGCGGCCCGGCACCAGCCAATCATGTTCGTCCCACGCACCCTTGAACACGGCGGCCAGTCGGTAGTAATCCCGATGCGGAATCGGGTCGAACTTGTGTGTATGACATTTTGCGCACTTGATCGTCAGCCCCAGCAGTGCCGAACTGAAGATTTCAATCTGATCGTCGATCAACTCCAGCCGATCGGGTACGAACGCCGTAATCGGTGCGTAGGTCCCGTCGGCCGCCATCCGCAGAAAGCCGGTAGCTACTAGGTTGTCATAAATCTCCGGTGTGATCTCTTCTGCATGCTCGTAGTCGGCCAATTCGTCGCCGGCCAACTGTTCGAGCAGGAAGCGATCGTACGGCTTGTCATCATTGAATGCTCGAATGACATAATCGCGGTATCGCCAGGCATGCTTTCGCACGTTGTCCGCGTTTTGAACGCCTTCGGAGTCGGAGTAGCCGGCCACGTCGAGCCAGTACTGCCCCCAACGCTCACCGTAGCGAGGTGACGCCAGCAGGCGATCGATCAATTGTTCGTACGCGTCGTCAGACGGATCGGCAACAAAAGCCTCCACCGCTTCGGGCGAGGGCGGTAGCCCAGTCAGATCGAAATAGGCGCGGCGAATCAGCGTCCGGCGGTCGGCCTCGGGTGAAAATGCAAGGTCAGCATCTTCCAACCTCCGGAGAAGAAAAGCATCCACAGGAGTGCGAACTTGTCCCGCATGTTCAACCTTTGGCACGGGAGCTTGCTGTGGTGGTTGAAACGCCCAGAACTGCCGATCTTCCTCGCTGACTAACTTATCGGGCTCGGTCGTAGCAACATCGGGTGCAATATCGTTGACCGGCATACTTTCGGCGATCCAGCGAGTGATAATCTCAACTTCGCCCGCCGAGGGAGGCTTCACACTCGCCGTGGCCAACTGACGATGCGGCGGCATCTCGCCGGCATGAATTCGCTTTAGCAGTAAACTCTCTTCCGGCTTGCCTTCTACGACGGCAGGGCCCGACTTACCACCGGTCAGCAAAGAGTCCTTCGAGCGGATATCCAGCCCGCCTTCCTGAGTGCGTGCCCCATGACAGGTAACACAACGCAGCCGCAATATTGGCAGTACGTCGTGCTGATTCAGTCGGTCCTCGGCCAACACCAGTGGGCCTTCCATGTGGGCGCCACGTGCGATCCAGCGGGAGATCGTCAGGATCTCGGTCTCGCTAAGCTGCTCCTCATCTTCCGGGGGCATGTAGCCCTCTAGGACATATTCAAAGAGCACACTTTCCTCGGGTTCGTGGAAGTCGATGATCGGGCCCGACTCACCACCGCGTCGAATCCCCGCTGGAGTACTCAGATCAAGGGCAGCTTTTTGCACCTCTTCGCCGTGACATTGGATACACTTTGCGGCTAGGATCGGCTCCACGTCGGTTGAGTATTCCGGTGGCGCCGCCTCTTCGCTCGCAGCGGGAGATGGATCCTCGGCCTTTACCGCCGAAGCCACGAGCAGGCTTCCGGCGATCAGCAAGGGCAGACTCCGCCCGCAAACCGTGAGCGGTAAGCATATTTTCAGGAGCTGCGCGGCGTTTTTGGGCAGGGCGTCAGTGCGACGCATATGCACGAACCTCGACGAAGCAAGGTACTGGTAAAGGCTTCTAAGCGACCCGCTAGCGGCAAATCCTATATTGGATACAATATCCAAGTCAAGTTGCTCTCCCTCATTGTAACCCGAATCAGCCGAGTTCCTCCAATTTCAGGCCGAAAATGACTGCGCTGGACTGGACCTTGGTCGTTCTGCTCAACGGATCGATCATCGTCTACGCGCTCTTCAGGGCCAAAGAGACCCATACCAGCAGCGACTGGTTCCTCGCCGGGCGAACGCTACCCTGGTGGATTATTGGGCTCTCGCTCTACGCCACCGCGATTGATTCCACCGACATGGTCGTCGATTCCGGCGGCGCTTACCAGTTCGGCGTGAGCATGTTCATCGTCAGTTGGGTCGGCATTGTCATTGGCTGGCTGCTCATGGCCTACGTCATTGGGCTGCCCATGTATCGCGCGGGCATGTACACCAATGCCGAATATCTCGAAGCCCGTTTTGGTCCGGCCGCCCGCATCATCAGTGTCCTGGTGCAGGTTCAGTTCCGCACCATGGTCCTGGGCATGATCGGGCAGTCGTTCTACCTCACCCTCGTCATCGTATTGGGGATGAGCGATACGGCAGCTTGGAGCACGGTCGTTGCCATCGCGCTGTTGGCCACCATCTACACCATGGCTGGGGGGCTAAAAGCCGTGGCCGTAACCGACGCCATGCAGTCGGCCGTAATGGTAGTGGCCAGCGTTGCAATGTTCATGATCGTCTTCAACCATGTCGGCGGTTGGACCGGCATTCAGAACAAACTCACACAACATGGCGACGCAGAATCAATCGCCGCATTGTTGCACGTGGGAACCGATCGCGTCGCCCATACCCCGACCGCCGAAATGACGGCCCTCGAGATTGAGAATCTCCTCCTGCTTGGTGGGGAACACAACGAAACCACCTCCGCAATATCCGTGCGCACACCCATCTGGCTCGTGTGTCTGAGTTTGACCATCACCGGTGTGGCGTACTCCGTGGTGAACCACACCCAGTCGATGCGGATGTTCGGGGCCCGGAGCGAATGGGACTTCAAGCTCTCAGTTGTTCTCGCCTCCGCCGTACTGATCGGCGGCACCTTCTTGAACCTGATGCAGGGAATCATGGGCCGGGCGCTCTACCCCACGGCCGACCTGTTGCCCGTGGCCGCATCGCTGCAAACCGTCGACGCGATCTTTCCCGTACTACTGCGTGACCTTGTGGTACCGGGACTGAAGGGAATCGTCGTCGCAGGCATCATGGCCGCCTCATTTTCGACGTACGATTCGATCGGCTCCACGATCTCGGCCCTGCTCACACGCGATGTCTACGGCCGGCTCTTGGTCACCAACCGTGACGATCAGCACTATCTGTTCGTTGGGCGTTGGCTTACGCCGATCATCATCTTTGGTTCGTTCCTGTATCTGCCGTGGCTCGACGGGGGGATGTTCAACTTCTACCTGCAAATGGTCGGGGCGATCGTCTCACCACTCTTGACCGTATACCTCATGGGCGCGACCACCCGCGTGCACCGGCGTTCGGGCGCCATTGGGTTGGCCGTCGGTGTGGTCTACGGCATTTGGTGGCTCGCCGCGCAGCGGGCAGCAGCCGACGGTATTCAACTTCTACCCACGGCATTGATGAACCCCATGGCGACCGCGCCGGTCAGCATGTTGCTCACCGCGACCGCCATGTTGATCTTCTCGCTAGTGGCCGGATGGACACCTCGTGGTGAACTCATGCACGAAGAGCCCGAAGGCTGGTTGCGGACCACGCAACACGAGGTGGTCGTTCGTGGTGAATCGTCCCTTTCGCGAACCTCGAACTTAGTTCCCATGGTCTCTGGCCTGTTGGTGTTGGCCCTCGGTCTCTGGCTGAGCTTCGTCGTATTCTGGTAACCCTTCAGTCTCCTGGAAAACTCATGAAAATTACCGATATCCAGTGTCACATCTTGTTGATCCCCGAGGTCCAGAAGGACGCCACCTCCTCGGCCCAAGACGACATCGTCGTGCTCATCCATACCGACGAAGGAATCACCGGCATCGGCGAGACCGATGTGAACCCCTGGATCGCTCGAGCCTGCATCGAAGCTCCAGGCACACACACCATGGGGCAGGGGCTCAAAGAGATGCTGCTGGGAGAAAACCCACTGGATATCGAGCGGTTGTGGGAGAAGCTCTACGTCGGCAGTGCCATGAACGGTCGTCGCGGGGCACTCATCTGCGCAATGGGCGCTCTCGACATGGCTTTGTGGGACATCCGCGGCAAGGCCGAAGGCAAGCCATGCTGGCAGTTATTGGGCGACGCGGCCGGAGATCACATCACTCCCTACGCCTCCTTGCAGCCGTCGGGTACCAGTTTCGAGCAGTACAAACAGTCGCTGGTCGATTGGGCCTGCCGCGCCAAGGAATACGGCTTCAAGGCCGGCAAGATGGAAGTCACTTTCGGCGGCCCTTACAAGCACAACGGCCTCAGCGCCCCGGATGAGAAGGTGACCGAAGTGGTTGCCGCCTGTCGTGCGGCCGTCGGGCCCGATTTCGACATCATGGTCGACGTGCAATACACCTGGTCCGATGCAGAACGGGCCCTGCGAACGCTTCGCGACTGGAAAGACCTGAACATCTTCTTCGTTGAAACTCCCTTGGCGATCGACAACCTTGAAGGTTACGCCCGGTTGCACGAAGAAGCCCCCATGCCCATTGCCGCAGGCGAGTGGCAGAACACCCGCTTCGAGTTCGCCGAATTGATGGATGTAGGCAAAATCGACATCGCTCAGCCGGATGTGGGCCGGGTGGGGGGGCTCACCGAAGCTCGACGCGTCTGTGATATGGCCGCCGAGCGAGGGCTGCGAATCGTGCCGCATTGCTGGAAAACTGGCATCGGAATCGCAGCCACCGCGCATCTCGCCGCTGTAACACCGCATTGCCCTTACATCGAATTCCAACCCGCTTCGCTATGCGAGTCGGTATTGCGTAAGGAGTTGGTGGTCGACGAGTTAGAGATCCGCGAAGGTGTGGTGCCACTTCCGCAAAAACCGGGACTGGGGATCGAACTGAACGACGAGGCCATTCTCAAATACAGCGTCGATTGATGCCACAAATCGGAACGATCACGAGGATTAGATTGATGAATGGTTAAACACGACCTACAATTTGCGGATTATGTGCAGAGGGTGTTGGATACACCTCAAGCAATTTTACTTTCCCGTTAACAAAAGCGAGATGCGCCAAGGTGACCCGAAACTATGGAAGTTCCAGCTAACGATTCCGTCAAGCTCGATAAACCCTTGGCGCGGGGTTTGAGAGAGCAGATTGTCGACCGTCTTCGCTACGATGTGTTAACGGGGCGATTTCAACCGGGGCAACCAATACGGCAGCAAGATATTGTCGATCGATTCGGGGTGAGCCGCACCCCCGCCCGCGAGGCGCTGATCGAACTCACCAACGAAGGCTTGCTAGTCTCCAAGCCCAACTGTGGGGTGACCGTCGCCGAGTTCGCTCCCGATTCGATTCGCGAGTTTCTGGTTCCCCTGCGACGAACCATCGAAACCTATGCTCTACAACTCAGCTTCGATCGGCTGGGAGAAGATGAGTTCAAGAAGCTTGATGAGATCGTCGAAGAGATGCGGCTGGCCTGCGAACAGCCTGATTACCCGGCCATCGCCGAGCACGACATTCGATTCCACCGCACGCTGCTCCAAATGGCCAAAGAACCCAACCTGCTGGCCATCTGGTCGCTGATTGTGGCCCAAGTGCGGGCGCACTTCCGCGAGTCGCACGCACAATACAACGACATCATGGAAGTCTATCGCGAACACGCGGAGATTCTCCGGCTGTTCCGCGAGGGCGACAAGGAAGTCGTGCTGGAACACTTCGGCAACCAAATCGGCGCCGAGCCGAAGTAGCCTCAACCGTGCTTTGGGTTCGAGGGGGGTATCTGCGAAGGTGTCCGCCATCCCCGCTGGGATGAGTCGGGTTCTAGGCATTATTCGCATTGGGTACACGGTTTCGCCCTATCCCCGAACTCTTGGCGTTCAACCCGACTGGGCAGGGTAACCCGCTAGAGGTAGAATTCATCATCCCTCTGAAGAGCGGACACATTCTGTCAAGCCTGCCGCGGTTCGTTTGATCACCGAGTGTCGGAACCGCGTATAGCTCTCACCTGAATCGAAATCATGCTGATCACCACCGTCATCGCTCAATTGGTTGTCCTCGCAGGTCAACCTTCGCTACAGGTTGCCCCCGAACACAACAACCCTGTGTTTCAAACGTTAGTTACCGATGGCGTACCATTCTTCGGCGATGAATCGTTCCCCTTGCCCGCGCCCACCATGCCTGATGGGCTCGACGCGGAGGCCCAGCAACAGGCCATCGCTTCGATCGCCGATCTGAATCATCCGGTACGGCAGCTCATGCGAAAGTCGATCGTTGCGCCCTTCGTGCTCGAGATTGAGAAGGAACCAACGCCCAACCCCGATCGTCCGGCTCGCCGTATTGATGTCTGGTTCGTTGCCTACGGCGATATCAATGCTCTGGCCGACGAGGAGTTCCTCCGCGACCTTGCCCAACAATCAGAGGAACGCTCGGACAGTGATCTACCCACCGAGGTGGTGTTTCTGGAGGATGCCGAACTGGAAGAGCGTTCGCTGAGCAAAGATCCTGCGGACACGACCAAGGAGGTGTGGTTCCACAGCACCTTCAGTCTGTTCGACCGAATTCAATTGCACGTAACCCGACATGCTTTCGTTACCCGCACTGCTGAATCGGTGTTGGTCGCATCGCTGTTGGACGAGCGATTCACCGATGACGCCAAGTACCCCACCGCCTGGAATTCGCTTTCTAGAAACGAACTGGGGCGATTTGTGTTCGGAGAGAAACAATCCTACCAATCCGCGGGCTTCTATCTCAAAGCAACGCAACTGCAGGAACCGCCCAATGCGATCTTTGTGGAGTATCATCAGGTGTTCGACGAACCGGGTGAATGGTTCGACGGGGCGAACCTGCTGCGGTCCAAGCTTCCGCTGATGGTGCAAGACGGCGTTCGAAAGTTCCGCCGCAAGATCGATCTGGCCAGCGAGAACTAGTCGACGACGCTTAATCCTTGGCCACTGTTTCCAAATACGGATTGAGCAGCTCGATCAACTGTTCAACCTGCGGCGATTGGAACATCGTCAGGTGGCTTCCCGGCACTTCATGCACGTCGATGCCTTGTGAAGCCCAGGGGCCCCAGCCAAGCTGCGGGTCTTCGTGCATGGGCGTTGCCTGATCCTCGGCCCTAAACAGCACGACACGTCCGCTGAAGGAGCGCGGCTGATAGGCAACCACGGCCGCCATGTTGGCCTGAAACACGTGGTACACATGCTGAATCTGTGTGCCGGCCGACCCTGCGAAAAGGATCTGCGCTACTTCGGCACGTTCTTTGAAGAAGTTCATCTGCTCTTCGGGCTCGGCTTGCCGCAAAGCATCGATCTGTTCGGGGCTTTCCCCCGGGAACATCAGCCCCAGCATCGGGACGATGTCCTTTTCATCGAACGATTCGCCCGGGCGAGGAATACCTGCATCGAAAAGGGCCAGCAGCGACACTTCGTCCCCAGCGGCCTCGAGCTGGCAGGCCAGTTCGAATGCCAGAACACCACCCGAAGACCACCCACAAACCTGGTAGGGGCCTTGCGGCTGAACCGCCTTCATCGCTTGTACATAGTGGGCGGCCATCGCTTCCAGCGTGTCATGCGGCGGCTGTAAGCCGTCTAACCCTTGGGCCTGAATTCCATAGACCGGACTTCCCGAGCGAAGATGCTTCGCGAAATCCAAATAGCAAAACACTGTTCCCCCGGCAGGGTGAACGCAGAACAGCGGCGTACCTTCCCCCTCGGCACGTAGAGGAATCATCGTGTTGTCGGCCGCCTCGCCGGAGTGATTCTCGATCAGCGATGCGAGGTGCGCGATCGTGGGACGTTGAAACAGCGACACCAGCGGCAGTTTCGATTCGAAGTCGGACTCCAGTCGCGCCATGAGTGCCATGGCCGACATCGAGTCGCCACCCAACTCCAGGAAACTGTCTTCGACGCCGATCGGTTCCACACCCAGGATCTCGGCCCAGATGGCCGTGAGCCGCTCTTCCATTTCGGTCCGGGGAGGAACGTAGTCGCCGAGTGTCGGGTCTCGCGGTTGAGAGGCCCCAGGCAATGCATTGACATCGACACTTCCATCGCTGCTTCGCGGAATCTGCTCGACAACGCTCCACAGTCGCGGCACCAGCGGGGCAGCAAGCGATTGTTCCAAGTCGTTTCGCACCTGACTGATTACCAACGAACCGGTCTCTTGCGCGATGGCCAACTTGGCATCTCGCGCCGGCACCAGGAAGGCGGCCAATTGGGTCTCGCCCTGTCGATCAGGCTGGCCAATCACGGTCACGTCTTCGACCAGCCGACTCTTGCGGATCTCGGCTTCAACTTCCGCGGGATCAACCCCGTAAAGTCCGACTCGAAGCGGGGCATCGACCGGACCCAGCCGCTCGATTGTCCCATCACTAAAACGCACGGCACGCTGGTTGGTTGCGACGAACTCAATCTCACTACCGGTCCCAAGCAGACTCGCAGCGGTGAGGCGATGGGGATTGCTCCTCTCGCCGGCCATCGTCAGGCCTTCATCATCGAGCAATGTAGACGCGGCCCGGGGGCCGTTGCTTACACCCGCAGTCTCTTTTCGAGAAGTATGAAAATGTGGACGAGTACCGTGTGCTGATGATTTGACGCTGGCAATGTATAACTGCCCCGGAACACCGATCGGCGCAATCTGCCCAGCCGAGTCAATAATCAACTCATTGCTGCCTGCTTCCACCTCGGCGGCAAGTTCCTCCCGTTCCAAGGGAGAGAGTAGACGCAGGTCGCTCAGTCGAGCTTGGGGATTCGCAGCAATCTCACCCAGCAGCGTTCGCAAATGGTCGAGCATCCGTTCGACAGCGTCGCCATCGAAGACGGCCGGGTCATACAGCGCTCGCAGCTCAAGTTCGGCCCCGGGCACGACGACCACCGTTAGTGGGTATCCGGAACTGGCAGTACCGCTGATCTCGCGGATGGCGATTTCGCCGATTCGTAATGGTTCGGCGGCCGACGCAGCGTGGTTCTCGAACACCAGCATCGTGTCGAACGGCCTTCGTCCCGGAGGCAGTCCGGCAGCTTCGGCGATTTCCTCAAGACGGGTGTATTGATGTTGTTGGACGTCGGCCAAGGTACCGTGCAGTTTCTGCAACCACTCGGCACACGTCGCTTCAGGCGAAGCCTTCACCCGCAACGGAACTACGGTCGACATGGGGCCAACCATTTCGCTAGCCCCGCGTAGGTCGTCGGGCCGCCCCGACATCCCGACGCCGAACACCAAGTCGGTTTCGGCTGAATAGCGCCCCAGCAATGCGGCCCAGGCACCTTGAACCACGACATTCAGGCTCACCTTCATTGCGGCAGCCGCATCCCGCAACCGCTTCGACTCGTCTCCAGGCAGGCAGCGTGAAGCTGCTTTGCTCTCTTGTTTCACCGCAAACGCTTGGACCGGTCGGGCCATCGGAAGCCGCGACGATTGCGGATAGCCCGCCAGCGTCTCCCGCCAGAACTGATCGGATTGGTTTGCATCGCGTTTGTTCAACCAATTCAGATAGCTGCGAAACTTGGTTCGAGGTTGGCCACTCGACGGCAGGCTCGCTTCCACATCGCCTTGACCCCCGGCGGCGTAGGCCATCATGGCATCGCGAAACACGAGCGGAACCGAAAGGCCGTCTAAGATCAGGTGATGGCAGGTCCACAACAACCGCCACCGATTGTCTTCCATCCGCATCAGCTGCAGCCGCATCAGCGGAGCCTTCGTGAGATCGAACCCGCGATGCTGGTCGGCCTGCCGCAGCCCTTGGTATCGGGCTGTCTGATCCTCGGAAGAAAGCTGACGAAGGTCGTCCACCTTGCAGGAGAGCGAGACTTCACTCCGCACAACCTGCAGTGAGTCCTTCAGCCCATCCCAGAGGAAGCAGGTTCTCAGCACATCGTGCCGAGCGACGGTCGCCTGCCAGGCCTGCTCAAAACGGTCGACCTCTAGCGGGCCCTCAATCGTGCAGGTGAGCTGCTCGACGAGCGTTCCCGTATCGCCCCCTCCCAGGGCATGCGCAAGCATCGACTGCTGCACAGGGGTGAGCGAGTAGAGGTCGTCGACGTTCTTCATGAGCGTTTACTCAATTGAGAGAGTCTTAGTCGGACGACGATCAGTCGTCGAGTTGAGACAGCATTGCGGCAACGCGATCCAGCTCTTGCTGATCAACGTCCGCCATCGGGAAATCAGATGGAGTGGCTCGCCCTTCGTTCTGGTTGGTGCAATGTTCGATCTTTTCATTCAGGGTATTGATGAGCAGGTCGGCTCGACGTTCCATCTCCGGTTCCACATCAATCGAACTGCTGTAGTTCCATTCGATGCACAGCCGGCCCTGACGAATGTAAGCGTTGATTTCCCACTTGTGGGGACGAACATTCTGAGGATCGTACGGCCAGCCGGCGCTCTCGGTGGCTTCGCCTAGGAGTGAATCTTCCGGTATGAGCTGATCAAAACTGCCCAGGTAATTGAAAACGGTCTCGGGCCGGACGATCGGCAATTGCGAACGAACCTTTTCTTCAGCCAGCCATTTGAGAATGCCGTAACCAACGCCTCGATTCGGTACGGCACGGCTTTGTTCCTTGGCGGCGATAATCCACGACTGGCAATCTTGCTCCTGTGGCGCCTCAACGACCAGCGGGAAGAGCGAAGTGAACCATCCCACCGTTCGCGAAACATCGACGTCGTCAAACAACTCCTCGCGACCGTGCCCCTCCATATCGAGGACCACAGGAGAGTTGCTTGTCTCTGATGACAACGTCTTGGCCACGGCGGCCAGCAGCAACTCGGCCGCTGAAGTACGGTACGGCTTGATGGCCTCTTGCAGAAACCGCGTAGTGTTTTCTTCGGAAAGCCCCCGACGTGCGGTTTGGACAGTCCCGAATGTGTTGCGAGGGTCGATTTCCGCAGCTAGCAAAGCGTTCGGCAGGGGTGCGAGTTTCGGCCGCCAGTAGTTGAGTTCTTCCCCGGCTTCGCTCGACCGGGCATAAGTAGCAAGCCGCTCAGTCCACTGACGCATCGAGGCCGTCTTCGGCGGCAGCACCGCTTCTTTGCCACCGACAAGCTGCCGGAACAGCAACTCCATGTCACCTATCATCACACGCCACGAGACTCCGTCGATGGCCAGGTGATGCGCCGTAATCAGCAGCCGGGCCGGTTCCTTGCTGCCTAGAACGAAGTGCACAAAGCGGAACAAAGGTCCTTCGGCAATGTCCAAACTGGTCTGCCACTCGGCGGCAGATTGTTCGATCGCGGCGGACTGTTTCTCGGGTGGTGTATCGGAAAGATCTACGGTCTCGACGCTCGGAGTTCGCGGGTCGGCGAAAGTTTGCAGCCACTCGCCCGACTCGTCGCGATTGAATTGGGCTCGCAAGCTGTCGTGATGGGTGACGAGAATCTCAATCGCCCGCTGAATCATCCCCGCGGTGACCAATGGGCTAAGTTCCAGTATCACCGCCTGGTTAAAGTGATTCGGGTTCGCGAGTTCCTGGGCGAAGAACGCGTGTTGGATCGGCGTGAGCGGTACCGTCCCCGTCACTGGGCCTTGGTCGATCTGAGTTTCGGTGATCGGTTCGGCAACCAATGCCAGCTCGGCGATGGTTTGGTGCTCGAACATCTGTCGGGGAGTAATCCGCAACCCGGCATCGGCCGCCTTGGAGACGACTTGGATCGTTTGAATCGAGTCGCCCCCGAGCGCGAAGAAGTTGTCTTCGACGCCTACACATTGCAACCCCAACACTGCTTGCCATATCTTGCTCAGCGTTTCCTCTTCGGTGGAACTTGGCGCTCGATAGGAGAGACGTGCTTCGTCTTCCACGCTCGGCGGTTCTGGCAAGGCTGCAAGATCGACCTTGCCTGTGCTCCCACGAGGCAGTTTCTCTAGCAAAACAAACGCCGAAGGAATCATCGGGTCTGGGAGACGGCTCGAAAGGAAATCTCGCATCAGCTTGGTATCGAGCGATTGTTCCCCCTCGGTAGCGAGGTAGGCAATCAAGCGTTTGCCCGTCCGCCCGCCGTCGTTGGCCACAATAGCCACATCCCTCACGGATGGGTGCTGGACGATGGCCGATTCGATTTCGGCCGGCTCAATGCGGCAACCACGCACCTTGATTTGGTGGTCGATTCGTCCGAGGAACTCGAGGTTTCCGTCGTTCAATAACCGGACCATGTCACCAGTGCGGTAATAGCGTTCCTCGCCGGCCCCCAGGTCCAGATTCACGAATCGCTCAGCAATAAGGTCCGGACGGCCACGATAGCCGCGAGCAACGCCGGTGCCGCCGATGTACAGTTCGCCGGGAACGCCAGCGGGCACCGGATTTAGGTGGCTGTCGAGAACGAACAATCGCTGATTCGTGATTGGCCGGCCGATAGGCACCCGTTCAGTCGAACTGGGGGCGATGTTGTCGGTCGCCGTAAAAAGCGTGGAGGTGATTGTCGCTTCACTCACCCCGTAGGCGTAGAGCAATTTCACCCGCCCGCCGCAAAGCTGTCGAAAGCTGTCGAACTTAGCCCGTGAGAGCCCCTCACCCCCGCTGAGTACCGACTTAACGTGGGCGGCCGATTGCGGCCCTTCATCCTCGATTGCTTGACGAACCGATTCCCAGACCGGCGGCGGGATATGCAGAACGTTCACCTTTTTCTGCCGCGTCCAGTTAAGCAGTTCGGTTCCGATTAGCTCCCGCGGCGTGGGGTGAATGTGTAAAGCGGCCCCGCTGATCAGTGCGGGGAAGATTTCTTCGCCCGCCGCGTCGAAACCAAACGAGAGAAACTGTAGCATCCCGTCGCCCGGTTCGAGCTCGTAGCTCTTAGCCAGAACTCGAGCATGATTTACCAACCCCCGATGTTCGATCTCGACACCTTTTGGTGCCCCCGTCGAGCCCGAAGTGTAAACGATGTAGGCCAAATCGTCGGGGCCGGATACCGCTTCCAGCGGATCAGACGATTGGGCCTCAAGCTCTTCTTTGAGGGTGTTGACCTCGAGTGCCTTAGCCTGACTCGCGTTAAACCGGTGAGCATGTTCGCTCGTAGTAAGAATCAGGTGAGTGCCGGCATCCTCGATCATTGCCTGCAGCCGCTGTGTTGGTTGCTCAGGGTCGAGCGGCAAGTACGCCCCGCCGGCCTTCAACACGGACAGCAAGCCTGCGATCATTTCAGTCGAGCGATCGATGCAGATGGCCACGACAGTGTCCGTGGTAGTTCCACACTCGCGTAGATAGCGGGCCCAACGATTCGACAGGGCTTCTAACTCTGCATAGGTAATCGACCCGCTAGCGTCGGCCACAGCCACTTGTTCAGGAGTGTGGGCGGCCTGATCGGTAATCAACTCGTGAATGCAGTGTTGTGGCAACTCGCTGGTTTGGCCGTCCGCCCAAGCCTGCAATTCTTCCCGCTCTTTCGGCGGAACTAACGGAAGTTCCAGCACGGGTTGGCTCGGGTCGGCGATAATCTGCCGCAACACTTCTTCATACGAGGACAATGCGCGCGATACCGTCTCTGCAGTGAAGAGCGACGTGTTGTAAACGAACGACAGCCGTAGTTCGTCGTCCAGTTCGTCCACGTTCAAGGTGGCATCGAAGCTCGATACAGGCGCGTGATCGAAGCTCACGTCGCGAACAGTCAGTTCATCGAGCTTTCGCTCGGCCAACGGGATGTTCTGCAGGACGAACATCACCTGGAACAGCGGCGTGCGACTCAAATCGCGCTCGACATCCAAGTTCTCGATCAAGCGATCGAGCGGCATATCTTGATGAGCGTAAGCATCGAGCGTCGTTCGCCGCACTTGTGCCAGGAACTCGTTGAACGTCGGATTGGCTGAAACATCGCCGCGTAGCACCAGCGTATTGGCGAAGAATCCGATCAGCCGCTCGAGTTCGGCCCGCGTTCGATTAGCGATGGGGCTGCCCACCAGCACATCATGCTGACCACTGTAACGAGCCAGCACCACCTGGAACCCAGCAAGCAGCGTCATGAATAGCGTGGCGCTCTGGCTGCGGGAGTATTCTCTCAACGCCCGGGTTAGCTCCGGCGAAATCCTGCAGCGCTCAACCGCACCCTCGAACGTTTGCGCCGCGGGGCGAGGGAAGTCATGCGGTAGCTCCAAGTGCGGCGGAGTGTTTTGCAGTTTCTCGGTCCAGTATTCGAGCAACTCCGCTTCGCGGTTCTCGGTAAGCTGCTCTCGTTGCCAGACGGCGTAGTCGGCGAACTGAATCGAAAGCGGTGCCAAAGCCGGTTCGTAGTGGCCGGCAATTGCCTGGTAGCACTGCGTTACCTCATCGGCCAGCACCGCCATCGACCACCCATCGGAAACGATATGGTGCATTGTCAGTAACAACGTGTGCTCGTCGTCTGCGGTTTTGAGCAGCGTGGCCTTTAGCAACGGTGGTGAGGTCAGATCGAACTCCACCAGTGCCGCATCGCAAGTAATCTCTTCTTGTCGACGCACCCGGTCTGCTGGTTGCTCTGCAGAAAGATCGATCGTCGTCAGCTTAAATGCGCACTCGGGCAAGATCACCTGAACCGGCTTGCCTTCGTCTGTCCGAAACGCGGTGCGAAGCGATTCGTGACGGTCGATGACCATGCGGAGCGCTTGCCCAAGGACCGCTGCATCGAGCGGGCCACTCAATCGCAGGGCCGTGGCAATGTTGTATTGCGGCGACCCGGGCGAGAGTTGATCGAGGAACCACAGCCGCTGCTGAGCAAACGACAATGGGGCAGGGCGGCTGGGGTCGCGCGGCTGAATCGATCGCTCAGAAGATTTCTGGTTCGAACGCGCGGCCTTCCACCGCTCGAGCAGTGCCCGTTTCGCCGGAGAGAGCCGCTCTGCACGCTCAGCGTGTTTGGGCGGGAGCACTGGTAAGACCCTTCGGTTGACTCAGGGCGGAATGTAAGTCGGAAGAGTACGGCGCCAATTCCGAACGCAAATGTTTGACGAGCGGATCGCGATGAACCGGCTCTTTCCACACGGCCATCAAATCTTCGATGACGTGGTGCTGGGAAACCTTTTCCTCGTTCTTGTAGCCTCGCAGAATCGGGTGGATGGCCGTGCTGCGATCGGCATTCGAAGCATCATCTTTATGCACCCGCGAGATTGCGAACACGTTCTGCTCGGCGTCGATGCGTTCTTGGCCGAATTCCATCGTCAGCACAAAGAAGTGAGCCGACTTCCCGAAATCGCTGTCGTGCATGAAGTCGACCGGTAGCTCGTTGTAGTAGCGAACCGTGCAGCGATCGGGGTCGAGAACCATCAAGTCGCCCAGGAAGCCTGTTTGCTGCCACAGGGCTGAGTCGCTGTTGATGCGGTTCAGCATGTGCTCGGCAATGGCTTCGGCTTCCAGCGGAAGTTCGGTGTAGTTCAGTGGTTCACCTTCGTAAGTGGCAACCAGCATCCGGTTGAGCGCCCGCACGTTGTAGCGAAAGCCATGGATGAATGCCGACTGCTTCTTTTTGAAGTCTCGGGCCTGCATTAATGCCCCCGCGAAGTACAAGTCGGGCACATTCGTCGACTCCCAACGGCTCGTCTGGCTGGGGAAGCGGTCGTTGTGCATCAGTTCCGGGCGGCATGATTCATCGAACATCGAGTTGTCGAACTGGAATCCGGTGCAAACGATCACTCGATCGTAGTGCATCGTTTCTTCTTCGCCCGAGGCGTGAGCGTAAGAGAATGACACTTCGTAATGATCGTCAACCTTGCGAATGCGTTCGACTTTGGCGTCGAGCAGCGCGTTTTGCGACTTCAGTTGATAGGTGTCCAGGAAGTTGTTGTTCACCGCTCGCAGGTGACCCACGAAGTGAGTCTGCCAGGCCATCTTCACGGTGTCGGGGCTAACCATGTGAGTCAGTGAGGTGGCAGCAATCAAGCGATCGGCCGTCTCGAAGGCCGAGTTGCCCTTGCCGAGAATCAGCACGCGCTGGCCCAAGAAATCGCTCGGGTCGACCGAAACCTCAGCGTAATTCTCGGCCAGCTCAATGCCTTCCACTTCCGGTACAAATGGTTTGTGGCACCCGGTGGCGACAATCAAAACGCGAGAGATAAACTTCCGTCCGTCGGCCAGGGTGACGTGGAAAAGGCGGTCTTCTTTGGCAATGTTGACCACGTCAGCGTTGTAGTGGACCTTTTGCTGGGTCTCTTCGGCAAAATCTTCCAAATAATCAACCAAGGCATCGGCTTGGGGGAAGAACTCGGTGCTGTAATCGCGGAACGTCTTCTCACCGTCCTCGGTGAGCAGCGAGTTCCAGTCCCAGCGAAGGTTTACTTCGGGGTCGTCGTGCCCGGTGTAGATCTTGTTGATCGAGATAAGCATCCGATGGCGGGGGTACTGCTTGAAGAAGGTGCCCGCACCTTCGCCCCGCTCGAGGATGGCGTAATCGCGTCCGTCGCGTTGGAAGAAGTATCCCAACTGGAGGCCGGCTGGGCCCGCACCGATGATGAGATAGTCGAGTTCTTGAGGTTGCTGCGTTTCGGTATTCATGTTCATGGGTTCCGTCTCGTCATGCTCTGCCAAGAGTGCGGCGGCCTCAGAGTCTGACATCGACTCGAGGCGTTCGAGCAATGCGGCCTCCTCGTCTTCCTGTTCAAGTTGTAATACAACGATGCGTTCAGCAAGTTGGGCGATCGTCGGGTAGTCGAGCAATTCGCTCAGGTCGAGCGTCAAATCAAACTGTGGTTCCAGGCGGGCCGCGAGTTGCGTGGCCAGCAGGCTGTGGCCCCCTAGCGAAAAGAAGTTGTCGTGGATGCCTACGCGATCGAGCCCGAACACCTCGGCCCAAGCTGCGGCCAAGATGGTTTCGGTTTCATTTCGTGGGGCAACGTAGTCGGGTTGTGACTCCTCGGGTGAGTTCGCCGGTTGAAAGCAGGGGGCCATCCACTCACGAAGCGCCGAGAGCCGATCCTTCTCGAAGTTCTCTCGACAGGCGTGCCGTTGGACTTTACCGCTGCTGGTCTTGGCGAGTGTGCCCGGCTGAATCAGCACAACCCGATCAACCACGATGTCGTGCACTTCGAAGATGTCGCGACGTAGGTCGTCAATAATCTCGTCTAAGTCGTATTTCTTGGGGCGGCTCACTTCATGTACGACCACCACACGCTCACGGCCTTCATGCTCAACGGAGAACACCGCGCCGGCATATGGCTTGAGCGCCTCGTGACTGCTTTCAACCGTCCGCTCGATATCTTCGGGATGATGGTTCTTTCCGGCGATGATGATCAGGTCTTTCAATCGGCCGGTCAGGAACAACTCGCCTGCGTCGATGAAGCCCAGATCGCCCGTTCGCAAGAACGGCCCTCGACCGTCAGGCAAGTGTGCGTTGAATGTGGCCTCGCTAAGCTCGGGGCGATTCCAGTACCCTGCGGCAACGTTGGGGCCATTCACCCAAACCTCACCCAATCCTCCCTCGGCCAGTTCGATGCCCGATTGCGGGTCGACTATGGCGATCTCTTGCCCCCGGGGTGGCTGCCCACAACGTGCTAGGCGTCGGGTGCCCTCGGTGCTGTCTGGCTTTTCAATCGCTTTGCCATCGGCCAGGGCTTCAATGTCGAACGAGCGAGCCAGCCCTTCGTTGCTTGGCTCTGCACCGGTGATCATCAAGGTGGCTTCCGCCATGCCATAACACGGTCGGAAGATCTCACGGCGAACCCCGCAGGGGGCAAACTTCTCGACAAAGCGGTCGATCGTTTCAGCCCGAACTGGTTCAGCACCACTGGCAGCAATTTGCCAACTGCTGAGATCCAATCCCTGCAACTCTTCGGGCTTGATGCGATTCACGCACAAGTCGTAACCAAAGTCCGGGGCGCCCGTGGTGGTCACACCATATTTCGAAATGGTTTGCAGCCAGCGAAGCGGACGCTGGAAGAAGGTCACCGGCGACATGAGGTACATTGCCCGCCCGCTGTACCAAGCCTGCAGCACGCAGCCAATGAGGCCCAGGTCGTGGTAGAGCGGCAACCAAGTCGCACCGATGGCATCGGGCACGTCGAGCTTCTCTTCGATGTGGCCCAAGTTCTGTAGCAGGTTGCCGTGCTGAACCATGACCCCCTTGGGAGTTCCCGTGGAGCCCGAGGTGTACTGCAGCAGTGCCAAATCTTCTCGGCCGAGCGGCACAGTGCTCCAGGCACTCGAAAGCCCAGTGTCGATCTCATCAGTCGCCAGTCGAACTTCAAACTGCGAAATGTGGTCGAGCAGAGGGGCCGCACGCCGAAGATCTTCGGCGATGCCCAAGACCAACCGTGCTCCACAATCCTCGGCTATCGCCTGCAGTCGTGGCCCCATCCGCGCCATCCGCATCGGGTCGGGCGGATACACCGGAACGGCAACCACGCCGGCATAGAAACAGCCAGCCAACGCCGCGATGTATTCCAGGCCCGAGTCGTATAGCAGCAGGGCACGTTCGTTGGGACCGCTGACTTGTTGTAATCTTGCGGCAATCGCTCGGGCACGCTGGTCGATCTGGCGATAGGTGGCCGCGTCGGTCACTTCTTCACCGTCGGCCAGAAAGTGATATGCGACCCGATCGGGGTGCGCTTCGGCCCGTTCGCGGAAGATTTCGGTGAGGCTCGCGGCGCTGGCACCTCGCGCACCGGCTCCTTGCGACGGAAACCCGGCGATTACGTCGACCGAAGAATCTATTTGATGCGAAGGGTGCACGTTAGCCATTATGACGAATCGCCTCGGTGGGCAGCAGCGTCGCCGCGCGATAGGCAGGGTAGATCGCACCAAGCAGTCCAATGGAAAACGCGATCACGATGCCTTGCACAATCACCAGCGGAGCAACGCTGCCGCTGACAATCGCACTAGAAGCGGGGAGACGACTGAGAAAGTCAGTAAGTAACAGAGCCAACACTGTTCCAAGCGCGGCGCCAACCAAACAGAGCAAGCATGATTCCAACATCACCATTCGCACGATGCGTGACTTTCGCCAGCCGATCGCACGCAGCACGCCGATTTCGGCCGTTCTCTCAAAAACCGAAACCAGCATGGTGTTCAGCATGCCAATCGCCCCGATGATCAAGGCAATCGACGAGGTGGTCCAGGCCATGGCCGTGGCCCCCTGAATTTTGGCATCAGTCCCCACGTAATCTTCCGAGGCCATTGCCGAAGCACCCACACAACGTTCATCGATGGCTTGCACGGTTTGGCGAATCAACTCGGAATCGGCCCCATCAGTAACCATTACATTGAAGGCCGTAACATGACCTTCTTGCCCCAGTAGATATTGCAACTCTTCAAGCGGCATCAGCATCGCGCCGTTCTCGAAGATGTTAAAGCGATCGTAAATGCCGACTACTTCGAAGAATTCTTCTTCGTACACTTCGACCTGGTCGCCAACTTCTTTCCCCAGGCTGTCTGCCAGGATTCGCCCTAGCATGACGACCCGTTTGTCGCCATCCTCTAGATTGCGGCCGGCAACGAGTTTGTGGTCGCTGGTCAGTTCGGTGCCGGGCCGGAGCCCCTGGACCACTACGCCATACAAACCGTCGTCCTCGAACGACACAGCATCCAATAGCGTTGGCTCTACGGTTTTTACTCCGTCGATCTGAGCTATTTCATCTGCCATCGAGGCGTCCAATACGCTGGTCATACGGTCGGCAACCCGAGCCCTTACGACAACAATATCGACGCCGTGGCCCTGATAAAGTTCCAAAAAGGAACGCTTGAAGCCATCGGCAACGCCAACCAAAGCGACCACAGCCGCCACAGCGATTGCCATTCCCGTAATCGTCAAACCCGAGCGGACACGTCTTCGTGATACGTTCTTAAATATGAGCGTAATGAAACGCACTTTGATCATCCTAATCGTATGATTCGGCCCTACCGCGGAAACCCCTAATGTAACAAAATTGACAATCAGTACAGGTGGGTTACTTGTTACATCCACCACATCGGGTGGGAGTTTTAGGGTCGCCGCCGTCTCGATTTCAGACAGTGTCGCGATGTCGCGCCACCCCTGTGGTACACAATTCGTCACTCTTTGGAACTACGATGTTCAATCAGCAGTCTTCCACCCCTCAGCTACGCGATGCGGCTGGAATTGTACTATGTGGAGGCTCAAGCATCCGGATGGGAATGCCCAAGGCATGGTTGCCCTGCGGAACAGTTACTTTTCTCCAGCAAATCGTAGGCCGTCTATCTGAGGCGGTGCCGAAAGTGGTCGTGGTTTCGTCGCCCGATCAATCGCTGCCACCATTGGACTCTGGCGTGATTCTCGCGCACGACCGTAACCCTGGCTGTGGTCCCTTGGAAGGGCTGGCTGTGGGGTTGAGATCGCTTCCCGAAGCCATTGAGACGGCCGTCGTCGTGGCCTGTGATGTTCCGTTGTTGAAGCCTCAAGTGGTTTGCCACTTGGCCAATTTGCTGGAATCGCACGACGCCTCAGTACCGCTAGTCGATGGTCGACCGCATCCGCTGGTTGCCGTCTATCGCTGCAGCATACTGAAGCAGATCGAAGGACTTTTGCGGAAAGACCAACTCAGCATGCGTACACTTTTATCTGAAATCGACGTCCGTTACATCGAAGGCTCGGATCTCCAAAGCATCGACCGCGATCTGGACAGTCTGCGAAATATCAATCACCCAGACGAATACCGTGCTTTGGCCAAACAGTTAGGCTTCGAGGTGCCAGAAGAGTTGCGCGGTGACGAACCGTGAAGTTCAGCGATCGAGGGGCATGCCCGAGGCCCGCAGCAAGGTGGCCTGCACCGTGTAATCGTGGTCGTAAGAGAAGTCTGAATCTTTCTCGCCGCGGATGATCTTCGCCATGTCTTCGGCGTCGCCCACGTAGCGGTCGTAGTCACCGAACGGCACAGTCTGGTAATTCCGTGTGTAACCCCCACGCGGCTCGGAAAGTGCCAGACGAACATCGGGCCGGTCGAGCGGCTGGATGTGAAACGTTCCTTCCGTTCCACAGACAGTAAATTGACGCCGCGAGAATCCCTCGACTTCCATGGCCGACGATTTCACGGTCGCAATCGCACGGGGATAGGTGAGCACGGCCAGCATGTTGTCTTCCAGGTCGTCGTCAATCACCGCAGCATGCTGATGATATGGCGTGACCGCCTCCGGCTCCCCAAGTACCCCGATGACTAAGTCGGTGATGTGGCAGCCCAATTCGAACATCATTCCGCCCGAGAAGGCAGCCAAGCCTTTTCGACTGGAAGGCGGAACCACCTTGCTCATCACCGTGTGAACTTCAAACGGTTCACCCAGCCAGCCTTTTTGTAGGAACTCCCGCAGCATCACAACCGCCGGGTTGTAGCGATACATATAACCCATCTGCACCAACAGATGTTGCCGTGCAGCCGAGTCGAGGATTCGCTTGTAATACGGCAGCGAAGTGCCTGCCGGCTTGTCGAGGTGGATATGCAGCCCGGCGTCGATACAGGTCTCAGCCGTGTCCAGCAGATCTTTCACCTGCGTTTCGACCGCCACCGCTTTCAGCCCCGGAGTGTTGAGCAGTTGCTCCTGCGACATCCAGGGCAAGTCGCGATAAGTCGATCGCCCCTGGGCAGCATGCCGCAAGTCGGGGTCTGACTCGACTACCCCCACCACTTCAAAGTCATCAGAGTCGCGGTAAACGGCCATCTTCCCATCGGCGTGCGCGTGCCCGACGCCGATCTGACCGATCTTGATCTTATCCATGCCTCACCCCGACGCTTCAAGACAAACAGTAAGAACTAGAGTCCGTGACAGAAGGCTGCGGCGTGGACTGCCTACTCGACCGTGTTTCGCAACACGCCAACTCCCTCGATTTCCACTTCCATTACATCACCAGCCTTGATGGGCTTCGTCTTGCCTGGAGTTCCAGTGAAGATCAAATCGCCCGGCTCGAGAGTAACGTGATGGCTGATGAAACTCACCGCTTGTGCCACATCGTGAACCTGGTTCGCCGTGTTGGTCTTCTGGCGAACCTCACCATTCAAACGCAGTTCCATGTCGAGGTTGTTGTAGTCGATCCCCGATGCAATGAAGGGGCCGCACGGTCCGAATGTGTCCGAGCCCTTCGCCCGCCACCACTGAATGTCGTTCTTCTGCCACACCCGGGCACTAATATCGTTGCCGCACGTGATTCCCAATACATAGTCCAAGGCATCTTCTACCGAAATATCTTTGGCTTGTTTGCCAATAACAATCACTAACTCAGCCTCGTAGTGCACCTCGCCCGAATCTTCCGGGAGAACCACGGTGCCTTCGTGGCTTTGCAGGCAAGATCGAGTCTTGAAGAACGGTTCCGGTAGTTCCGGGGCAGGGCGGTCGCCCAGGTGATCGCGATAGTTACCTGCCAGTGCGATCACGTTCATGGGCTCGGTGGGGACGAGAACCGTGACTTCGTCCAGGGCGACGACATCATCGGTCGTGCTCCACTGGCCGAACAAGTCACCATCGAGACGACGCACCTTTTCGCCTTCGACGAGGCCGTAGCTGACTGTGCCGTCTTTCTCGTAGCGAACAAACTTCTTCGCCTCACCCGCTTCCGTCATCGAGCCCGCTGCACACACGATTAGGAATACCGCCATGGCCAAGCATGACAGACAAATCTTACGGAGCACTTCGAAGTAGGCCGTTTGCATGTTGTTCTCCACCGGGAATTGCGTCGACGTCCACAAGGTCAAGCTGAATCTGCCACGATCGTAGTCCATGGCCGCACCGGAATCAAAGAACCGCCGATTCCCGTTCCATTCCTTTTTTGCCGGAGCCTCAAGCCGACCTTATACTGCCCCTGCCGGGTATGCGTTCGCGTCTTCAGTCAATCGCGAGATGAACCATGACAGCAGCAGACTGGTTGTTTTCAGTGATTCGCTATCGAACTCTATTTGTCGCGATCCCTTTGCTGGCAGGCTATTGGTCGGCTGCCGCCGCCGAAGACGAATTGTTCGTCGCCACCCCGCTCACCGCAGACAACTCCTTCACCACGGGGATCGAAGGACCGGCCTGCGCTGCCGACGGTATCATCTACGCCGTAAATCTTGCCGAGCAGGGCACCGTCGGCCGCATATCTCCAACGGGCGAAACGGAAATCGCTTTCCGCCTGCCGGGCACCAGCGTCGGCAACGGGATCCGCTTCGACAAACAGGGGGCGATGTATGTGGCAGACTACGTGAACCACAACGTGTTTCGAGTCGACCCCGCCACCGGAAAGCTCACAGTGTTTGCCCATCACAAGGGCATGAACCAACCTAACGACTTGACCATCGCCGCCGATGGCACGCTCTACGCCAGCGACCCGGCCTGGGACAAAGGCACCGGCCAGCTCTGGCGAATCGATAGCAATGGCGAAGTCCGTCGCGTAGCCGCCGACATGGGCACCACCAACGGCATCGAACTCAGCCCCGACGGGAAGAAGCTATTCGTCAACGAGAGCGGGCAGCGCAACATCTGGTCATTCGATGTCGAGTCGAACGGCGACCTGAGCAACAAACAACAAGTCCGCAAGTTCGACGACCATGGTTTCGACGGAATGCGTTGTGATGTGGATGGCAACCTCTACGTCACCCGGCACGGGAAAGGTACCGTGGTGAAGATCACCCCAACCGGCGAAGTCCTTCGCGAAATCGACGTTCTTGGTGCCAAGCCCACGAATATCTGTTTCGGTGGGCCCGACGGTCGCACTGCCTATGTTACCGAGGTCGACCATGGCCGGATCGTCTCCTTCCGAGTCGACCGCCCGGGCCTGGCTTGGCATCGCTGGCAAGAAGCAGCGGCCGACCGTTGACTAAGTGCAACTTCTGTGAGGTCATCTCGTGCAACGACGTAACGAAGCCAGATACATCCACGTCTTTCTTGCCAGCTTGTTTGTTTTCTCGAGCCTTCACAATACACACGGTGACGAGACATCTCCCGAAGACCGCCCCAACATCGTGTGGATTTGGGCCGACAATTTGGCTTACCGCGACTTGGCTTGCTACGGCAATAAGAACGTCAAGACTCCCACGATCGACCAACTGGCCGCCGATGGCGTGAAGTTGACGCAGTACTACGTGGCCCACACAGTCTGCAGTCCCTCTCGGGCTGGATTCCTCACCGGACGCCAGCCATTTCGTACGGGTATCGTAGATGTGCTGCGGCCGGACGGCCCGTCGGGATTGCCCGACGATGAGATCACGATTGCCGAACTCCTTCACGATCAGGGCTATGCCACGCTGGCCGTCGGCAAGTGGCATCTCGGCGATCAGGTCGAATACCTCCCCACCCGCCACGGCTTCGACCATTATTTCGGCCTGCCTTACAGCATGGACATGCTTCCCACCGTGTTGTATCAGGACGAAGAGATTATCGAGCGGCTCCCCGGCGACCGCGTGGGCAACATCACCGAGCGCCTCGTCCATCGGGCCGTGGAGTTCATCGACAGCAATCGCGAGAAGCCGTTTTTCATCTACTTCAACCACACGCTACCCCATCCCCCCATCAATTTACCTGAGGGTGCTCAGCGGGAAGGGCTCACCACCTATGAAGCTGCCATCGAACATCTCGATCGGCAGACGGCCGAAATCCTCAACGTCATCGACGAGGCTGGGCTTCGCGATCGGACCCTCGTCGTGTTCACCAGCGACAACGGACCGATGAGTGTCGGCGGGGATACTGGCGGATTGCGAGGACGAATCCGAGAATCGTACGAGGGCGGAGTTCGGGTCCCGCTTGTCGCCCGCTGGCCGGGCAAGATTCCTGCCGGCACGGTGGTTGACACCCCGTGTATCGCCATGGATTTCTTCCCCACCTTCGCGGGCTTGGCGGGAGCGGACCTGCCTGACGACCGAGTTTACGACGGACAAGATATCTGGCCCGTTCTCGCAGAGGAGGACAGCATTGAAAGAAAGACACCGTTCTACTGGGTGCAAACCGACAATGTCACCGCCACCCGCGACGGGAAATGGAAACTTCACGTCGGCCATCGCACACAGAATCTGTCGGAGCCCGAACTCTACAATGTGACCAGCGACCCGGCCGAGGAGCACAATCTGGCCGCCGAACATCCAGAAGTCGTAGGCCGCCTCCGCCGTCAGATCGCTGAGTTCCAAGAAGAGGTCCCAAAAGCCTGGACCCTGGTCTATCCCGTTCGCGACCCCGCCAAGCGCCCCAGCGGAGTTCGTCGCGAGTAGTGATCCTTAGAACTACTCAGGCAGCTCACGCCCCTTGGTTTCCGGAGCGGCGATGAGCAACAACGCCCCCAGGATGAAAAGCAGGCTCAGCAGCGAAGCCGCATCCGAAACCGTGTACCCCTCGTCACGTTGCAACCAGCCCACGACGATCAAAATCGGCGCGGCCAGAATCCTCCCGAAGTTAAAGCAGAAGCCTGCCCCCGTGCCACGCAGTTTCGTGGGGAATAACTCCGGGAAGTAGACCGCATAGCCGGCATGCATTCCCAACGTTAGGAAGCCGAACACCGGCAGAGCCACGATCAATACGCTGGTCGACGTGTCGGGCAACAACTGAAACACAACCAGCGCCGAAACCAGCCCGCCCAGGTGATAAAACAGAAACGCACCCCGGCGTCCAATCCATTCACAAATCGGCCCAAACGAAACGAGCCCGATACCTCCGCCCGTGGTGACCAGGAACATCCCCAGCATTTCCCAATTCTTGACCGACGAGGCGTCTGCCGCCGAAATCGCTTCGGCCTCTTGCGGTGAAGCATCCTTTGGCATCTCCGCCGCCAACTCGGTTTTGCGAGCGTCACGCATCAGGTTCTTGCCGTAAACATGAACACCCCAGAACGTTGCTAACCCGATGGTGGCCAGCCCCACGCCGACCAGCATGTGCTTCAACTCCGGCGGACGGAACAAAGCACTAATCCGCCCCATCTCGGCCTTCGCGGCTCCAGCGTCCCGTTCGCGTGCTAGTTTCCAACTCTCCGGCTCTCGCAGGCTGAGGCGTATCCAAAGAATCAACAGCGCCGGCAACACCCCAATCACAAAACCCCATCGCCAGCCGATATTCGGATTGCCGACAATGAACACCCCGGCCGTAATCGCCAGGTAGGTTCCTAGCACACTTGATCCATGAAAGATCGCCAGTGACCACGCCCGGGCCCTCTGTGGAAACACCTCAGCCACCATCGAACTGGCCACGGCCCATTCACCACCAACGCCAATCGCCACCAGAAAACGCAACGCCGCCATCTGCCACCACGAAGTAGCGAAGGCCGACACACAGGTGAAAATCGAATACATCAGTATCGTGTAGTTCAGTGTCCTCACCCGACCGATGCGGTCGCTGAGCATGCCAAAGAACACGCCGCCCACGGCGCCGCCGACAAGAAACGAAGCGAAGATGATCTTGTTGTACGAGTCGACCTGAGCCGCTGGAGTTCCATCAGGCACCAGCTCCGGCATCGCTTCGGTCATGCAAGCGATGAAGATCTGGCCTTCGTAAACGTCGAAGATCCACCCCAGCGATGCGATCACCAAGACTAGCCACTGATAGCGAGTCACCCCGTCGTACCAGTGCGAAAATTTCAGGTCGCCCGCAGCCTGTAGATTCTTGTTTTCCAATTGCATTCGCTTTCGGCCCTAACTCTTCTTGGTTGCATCCCACGCTTCGCCGAACACCTCGTGCCCCATGTCGGTGTAAGGGCTGCGAAAACTCTCCCGCCACACATCCATTCCCGCGGTCGCACAGTGGGCCCCATCCTGGGCGGCGATGCCAAGTTGCCGGCTGTTTCGAATGGCCGCCGCGATGATCTGGGTGGGATATCCGTGCACCTGCAGCATACTGGCGATCTCGAGAATCAACGCTTCGGCCCCATCGCCGTAGGTCTCTTTCCACCCGATGAATGGACTCACATAGGTCGCCCCACAGCGGGCCGCGTGCCACGCCTGGGCCACATGAAACACAAGAGTGGCGTTCGTGCGGATGCCTTCCTGCGACAATCGGCGAATCGCCTCGAACCCCGCCTCGCTGGCACCGACCTTCACCACAAAGTTCGGCGATCGGCTGGCCAACTCTTTCCCAGCCGCGACGATCTCCGCAACGTCGGTCAACCGGGGGTTCACCTCCACGCTCACCGGCTTGTCCGTGCCGGCAAATAGATCGGCCACTTGACCGATCACCCGATCCAGCGGCTCCCCCGAGGCCTGCACATGCCGGGGATTGGTCGTCAGCCCGTCGATGTCCCAATGTTCCAGCGCGTATTTGATCTCGTCCGCCTTCGCGCTGTCCAGAAACATCTGCATTGTCTTCGTCTCGCAATAAAGAGGCATCCGTTTCAAACCGTCTCTGCCAGGCACCCGCCCGCCACAGTGTTCGACATTGTGCCCCGGGGGCGTTGCGAAGTCGAATCGATTCTGACACGATGATCGCGTTTGACCGAGATCTGGGGAGAGTACGCGGTGAAAGATGTTCGTTTTGGGTTGATCGGTTACGGAGCCTGGGGAAGCCATCACGCGCAGGCCATTGCCACAACCGAGGGTGCGCAATTGGTGGCAGTTGCCGCGCGAAGCGAAGAATCGCGAAATGCCGCGAAGCAAGCACACTCCGACTGCGACGTCCACGCCGACCTGCACGAACTGGTCGCCCGCGACGATATCGAGGTGGTCGACATTGTCCTGCCCAGCGATCTTCACACCCAGGCCGCAACCGCAGCGCTGGAAGCCGGCAAACATCTGCTGCTCGAAAAGCCAATGGCCATCACGTTGGCCGACTGCGATCAAATCATCGAACTGGCCCGCAACAAGAATCTGCTGTTGGCCGTCGGCCACGAGCTTCGTCTTTCTTCACTGTGGCACAAAGTGAAGGAGATGGTCGATGCCGGTGAGATCGGCGAACCCAAGTACGCCTTGATCGAGCTATTTCGCAATCCGTACCGGCAGGGCTCACAGAGTTGGCGTTACGACTTTGAACGGGTCGGAAGCTGGGTGTTGGAAGAACCCATCCACTTCTTCGATCTGGCCCGTTGGTATCTCTCGTCCGTGGGCGACCCTGTTTCGGTCTTCGCCCGTGGGAGCTCGCTGCAAGAAGGGCATCCCGAACTGCTCGATAATTTCTCAGCAACCGTTCGCTTCCCTGGCGACGCCTACGCGGTGGTGACCCAAACACTTGGCGGCTTCGAACACCATCAAACGGTCAAGCTCACCGGAACCAAGGGGGCGTTGTGGGCTAGCTGGAGTGGTGCTAAAGACCGCACCCGTCACCCCAGCTTCTGGTTGAAACATTTCGACGGCGAGCAAGTCCAGGAGATTCCCATCGAACGCATCACCGGCGAAGTGTTCGAACTCGAAGATCAAATTGCCATGATGGTCGCCGCCGTACGGAACAACGCTCCCCTGGCCGCAACCGGGGAAGACGGGCGATGGTCGGTGGCCATGTGCCTGAAGGCCGAAGAATCAATTCGGGCCGGCACCCCCATCTCGTTTTGAGCCCCCCGTCATGAACGATTTCTTGCCAGACTATCTAAACGTCTCTCGCGAGCAACTCGGTGCTGGGCAGCCCGTGGAAGTCCGCCAGGTTGGTGATGCACCCGATGTGGCTCGCGACATGGCCGCCACAATGCTCGAGACGATTCGGTCGCTTCTTTCATCGCAAGGACGAGCCGTGTTGATCATCCCGGTTGGGCCGGTCGATCAATATCCGCTGTTTGCCGAAGCTATCAACAACCAGGGCATCTCTCTTCGCGACGTGACTTTCATCTCGATGGACGAGTATCTCACCGACGACGATTGCTGGATTGACGAATCGCACCCGCTAAGTTTTCGCGGCTACTTGAACCGTCTCTTCTACGACCGTCTCGACCCCTCGCTCGCACCACCGCGTCAGAATCGCATCGTCCCTGATCCACAGAATCCGCAGCGACTGACCCAATGGATTCAAGACAACGGTGGGGTCGATGTTTGCTTCGGCGGAATCGGAATCAACGGGCACATGGCCTTCAACGAACCGCCGGAGCCCGGCGAAACCTGTACCGTGGAAGAGTTCGCGGCTCGCCCAACCCGAGTTCTTGCGCTGTCGCGTGAGACTCGAGCGATCAACTCAGTCACCGTCGGCGGAGAAATCGATGTCGTTCCCCGCCGTGCGGTCACCGTGGGGATGAAAGAGATCTTGGCCGCGAGGGCGTTACGTTTCTACTGCAATCGCCCCTGGCAGTCCTGCGTTGCCCGGCGAGTGCTGCACGGCCCGATCGCGGCCGCATGTCCTGCGTCGCTGATGCGTACTCACAACGATGCCGTGTTAACGGTCGCCGAATATGTTGCGCAGGAACCTGAGATCGGATTGCGTTAGAGTTTCATCCACATCCCAGCCCCGTCCCTTGGAGCCATCATCAATGCCGAAGCTGAACTTTGCGGGCGAGCGTGTCCTGGCGGTAGTCGCCCATCCCGACGATGCCGAGTTGTTGTGCGCTGGCACACTTGCCCGAGCAGCCAAAGATGGTGCGGAAATCGCCGTAGCCGTCATGTGCCGCGGGGATAAAGGACAGCCATCGAAGAAGATCAAAGACCTGGGTGCGGTACGAAAAAAAGAAGCCAAGTCGGCCGCAAAGCTACTGGGGGCCGGCTTTTATTGGCTGGGGTTCGACGATGGCACGTTGGCCGACGGTTTGGCCGAACGTCGCAAGTTGATCGAAACTTATCGCAAGTTCGGTGCGACGCTCGTGCTGGCCCACAGTCCGCGGGACTATCACCCCGACCATTGCGCTGCGGCGGCCGTTGCCGAGTCGGCCAGTTGGTTTGCCGCTTCACCAGGACACAAAACCCGCAGTGCCCCGCTGCCCGCCCCGCCGGCATTGTGGTGGATGGACACGGTGAACATGACCGAGTTCGAGCCCGAGTTGTTCATCGAGATGAGTGAGTACCTGCCGACCAAGCACGAAATGATGGCCTGCCACAAAAGCCAACTCGCACGGGCCGGCGATTCCAACTTCACCCCACTCGGGCAACTCATGGAACGCCAGGCCATCGCCCGCGGAGCCCAAGCCGGAGTGCCGGCCGCCGAAGCCTTCCAAGTCTGCCGCACCTTCAAACGGGCTCGTGCATGGTAAGAGATGCCGCGCAATTGAAGTGCTAATTCACCTTAATGACGCTTGCCGTGGATCGGTTGTCATTTCATGAGTGCATTCAACTCCCCTGGGACCCTCAAATCTGCTTCCACTTCGCATTCGAGTGGACATTAGCCTGGGCTTCATCATCGGCGAAGAACGACACATGCCCACATCCTTCACAGAGCACCACGTGAAACTTCACCGTGCGAAACCAGCCTCCTAGGCCTGGGAGCAAGACCGGGCCGTAAGGACCCGACGAGGCCGCCATCGTGGTGTAAAGGGACTGGCCATCACAATTGATGCACTTCTTGGGCAAATCCGGCATATCGACCTCAGTTTCGTCATTCGTTGCAGCACCAGGCTGTACAAACAAGGTTGTGCTGAGATGAAGTAGGGTAGCTCTACTCCTTCTCCTTGAACTTCAGCGAGGCCGAATTGATGCAGTAACGCAATCCCGTGGGCTGTGGACCATCGTCGAAGACGTGCCCCAGGTGGGCATCGCACCGGTGGCAAAGCACCTCCACCCGACGCATTCCGTGGCTAGTGTCGGTTTCTGTCTCGACATTCTCCGCCTTGGCCGGGGCCGTAAAGCTGGGCCAGCCACATCCCGAGTTGAACTTGTCGTCGGACTTGAATAGTTCTTCCCCACAGCAGACGCAGTAATAGGTGCCAGCTCGCTTATTATCATTGTATTCACCGGTAAACGGGCGTTCGGTCCCCTTACCTCGGGCAATCGCATACTGCTCCGGGGTCAGTTCCTGCCGCCACTGTTCGTCCGACTTCATAATCTTTTCGCTCATTCGTTCGACTCCACCCCTGGAAAAATCTTTCTGCCCCACGACCGCGAACCTAGCAAGTTGCAGAAATGGTGAAAAGCACCGGCGACATCGCTCCGCCTCATCTAGTAATACGACGTATAAGAACTCATTCTATTACCTGCTGAATATCGGCAGGGCGTTTTAACCGGCCAGATTCGCTCAATGGCCCCTTCACTTGGGTCGATAGCATTGTTGAGAAGTCAGGTCACTTGCTAGAATTCGAACGCCGCGGCGAGCCCACCCCGGGCCACCGCCCGCATCGCGAGAGTGGCGGAATTGGCAGACGCGCTGGATTTAGGTTCCAGTGGGGAAACCCGTGGGGGTTCGAGTCCCCCCTCTCGCACTTCGCTTGCAATGGCATGGACGCAAGGCTGACCTAGGATTGAGTGGCCCTTCCCGCGGGAAGGGCTGACATTTTTCTGATCGCAAGGGCAGGGCGGCTGCTTAAGGCTCGTGTTGCCCGCGGAAATGAATGCAAGGAGCTAACCGTGAGCGACCGGCCGCATGTTGTCATTCTTGGGTGTGGTTTTGGCGGTGTTGGTGCTTGCCATCGACTGAGTAAAGCCAACGTCGATATCACGCTCATCGACAAGAACGACTACCACACGTTCCAGCCGCTCATCTATCAGGTGGCCACTGCCGAGCTAGACGCCTCGACCGTGGGGCACCCCATCCGCGATCTGCTGCACAAGCACGACAACGTGCGGTTCCACAAAGCCATCGTTAGCGGGGTCGATCTGGAGAAGAAAACAGTCCAGATCGAAGGATCCGACCCGCTGAAATACGATTACCTCATCATCGGGCTGGGAGCCCAGGTAAATTTCTTCGGAGTGCCAGGAGCCGATGAACACGCTTACCCGCTGTACACCATCGAGCATGCGGTGCGGTTGAAGAAGCACATTCTTGAGGTGCTCGAAGCCGCCGATAAAGATCCCTCGCTGGTGGACGACGGGGCACTGAATGTCGTCGTCGTAGGCGGCGGTCCGACCGGAGTCGAAACAGCCGGGGCCCTTACCGACCTGTTCTCAGTCGAGTTTGCCCAGGACTACCCCAATCTGCCCATCGATAAAGCCCGCATTATTATCGTCGATGCAGGGCCGGCCTTGCTGGGGCCGTTCAAACCAAACCTGCAGGAATATACAAAACAGGCCATCGAAGCTCTGGGCGTCGAACTGCATCTGCAGAACCAGGTGGTCGAAGTCACGCCTTCGCACGCCGTGTTGAAGTCGGGCGAGACGATCCCCACGCACACGGTGATTTGGGCTGCGGGTCTAAAAGCAAACCCCGTGGCTCAAAGCTTGGGTGTCGAACTAGGCCGGGGAGGTCGGGTGCCGGTGGAAGCCGACTTGAGTTTGGCCGGGCATCCCGAGGTGTTCGTGGTGGGGGATATTTCACAAGCCACCGATGCGAAGACTGGCCAAGTGCTGCCGCAGCTCGGTTCAGTTGGCATCCAAGCTGGTACCCACGCCGCCGTGAACATCATGAAAAGCGTCGATGGGAAATCCACCGAGCCGTTCTGTTATCACAACAAAGGTACGATGGCCACCATCGGACGAAATGCCGCCGTGGTGGAACTTCCCGGTGGAATCACCCTCACCGGCGAACTGGCGTGGCTGGCCTGGGGTGCCGTTCACCTGGCCCTGCTCACGGGCGCCGAAAGTCGAGCTTCGGCACTCGTCGACTGGAGTTGGGAACTCTTCACCCACCAACGCAGCAAACGCATCGATATCGAGCTGTAACGGGCAGATGTAGACCTTCAGACTACCCCTTCTCGGCCTCAAGTTCGTCGAATGCTTCTTTGGCGGCCAGCAGTGCATTGGTGGCCCCCGGGAAACCACAGTAAGCGATCATCTGCGTGATAATCTCGAGGATCTCTTCCCGGTTCGCGCCACAATTCAGCGCCCCGCGAACGTGCACTTTTAACTCGGGTAGAGCAAACCCCTGAACCGTGAGTGCGGCAATCGTGGCCAGTTCACGGGTCTTCTCATCCAGCACCTTTCGAGTGTAAAGCTCACCGAAAGGGAACTCCACGTTCACCTTCGCGAATTCCGGGGAGATATCGGCCAGCCGCTTGATGTACGTATCGGCCACGGGCCCGAAATGCCGCCGCATTTCATCCATGCCCTTTTGGTACAGGTCTTCCGACATGGACTGCTCCTTTGCCACAGTTGACTACGAAAACGGCTGGAAGTCGACCAGACTCCAAGGGCCAGTGCCCATCAGAAAGAAAAAGAAGCCGACTGCTGCCAAAACGAAGTTTTTCTCTGCCGAGGTCACATGCCCGACCACCGCCAGAGTAGTAGCCCCCGCGGCGGCCTCCACGTCTTCCTGGCTCGCGGTCGAAGAAAGCTTGGTCGCGCCAGCCATTGCACCTAGTTTGTAATGCACCCGCGCCCCGCCCAGACAGAACAAGCACAGACCCGCGCCGGCCAGGCTGCCGTAGAGGCCGACTAGAATCATCACGGCGCCACCAATCATCAGGGCCATCGAACCGGCGGCAAACAGATTCGCCTGCCACTTGAACAGCAGGGCGGTGGTTTGCACCGTGGTAGGCCAGTCCTTCAATAAGCCGATCGCCGGATAGAGAAACATCCAGGCATACACAGCACGAAGCGTCAGCCAGGCAATGTCCGAGGCGTTCACGTCAATGCACCCGATCTGAGTGGACCGTGGCGAACAGGGCATCGTTCTCCGAGTAGTCAATCGGAACATCGATCAACACCGGCCCGGGAATTTCCATCGCTTTCCTCAGCGTGGGAATTATCTCGTCCGCGTGTTTAATCGCGAAGCCGGTCGCCCCAAAGCTCTCGGCGAACTTAATCAGGTCGACACTTCCGAAGCGTACCCCGAACTCACGGCCATATTTCATCCGCTCCTGGCTGCCAACCATGTCGTAGGAGCCATCGCGCCACACGAAGTGCACGAAGTTGGACCCTATCCGCACGGCGTTTTCCAGTTCCATGGCCGAGAACAAGAAGCCCCCGTCGCCCGAGATCGAGACGATCTTCTTCTCCGGTCGCACCAGCGAGGCCGCCATCGCCCAGGGCAGTGCGACGCCCAAAGTTTGCTGCCCGTTGCTGAATAGCAAATGCCTCGGCTCGTACGAATAGAAATGTCGGGCCATCCACATGTAGTGAGAACCGATGTCGCAAACCACCGTCGTTTCGTCATCCAGTTCGGCCCGCAGGTCGTGGATGAATCGCAAGGGATGGATGGGCGAACCGTCGAGTTTCGCACCGCGCTTCAGGTCCGCTTCTAGATCAGCACGTACTTTTTGCAGCGTGTCTGCCCTAGGAACTTCACTCCAGGGCTTGAGCTGTTCGGACAGGGTTTCGAACGTAGCCGCGACATCACCCAGCAGTTCCACCGCCGGTCGATAGCATCGATCGATCTGTGAGGCGACCTCATCGATGTGCACAATCGTCAACGCATTTTCAGAATTCCAAGTCGACGGGTCGTACTCCACAGGGTCGAAGCCCACGGTCACCACCAGGTCGGCCGTTTCCAGCAAACGGTCACCAGGTTGGTTCTTAAACAATCCGACCCGGCCTCCGAACAGATGCTCGAGTTCTCGCGAGATAGTACCCGCCGCCTCGTACGACATCACGGTTGCCATGGGGTGGCTAGCCAAGAACGCTCGAATAGCCTTCGCATTCCCCGGGCGACTAGCTTCCAGCCCCAGAAACAACACAGGCTCTTTGGCTTTTTTGATTAGCTCAACCGCCCGATTGAGCGATTCGGCTGAAGCCGCACCGGGCCGCGAGTCTTCAACCGGCTTCCAGGCCGAAGCCCCGGTTGTCTCGCCCATCACATCTTGAGGCAGGCTGACGAACGTGGCACCGCCCCGCGACCGACTTGCCAGGCGAAACGCGTTTTGAATCACTTCAGGAATCGACTCGGGAACTACGACCTCCACGCTGCTCTTCGTCACCGGTTTCATCACCGAGACGTTATCCAAGCTCTGGTGCGTCGCCTTCAATTGCATCGAGCGGGGAACTGCTCCGCCAAACGCCACCACCGGGTCGCCTTCGGTGGTCGCTGTGGCGAGCCCCGTCGTCAGATTGCAAACCCCAGGCCCTGATGTAACCACGACCACACCGGGAGAACCTGTAAGTCGCCCGATGCAGGCGGCCATGAAGGCAGCATTCTGTTCGTGCCGGCAGAGAATCAACTCGGGGCCACCGTCGGCCAGCGAATTGAACACGGCATCGATCTTCGCACCCGGAATGCCAAAGACGTACTTCACGCCTTCGTTCCTCAGGCATTCGACCAACAACTGCGCCCCAGTGGTATTCACGTTGTCGGCTCCAGATTGAAGACCAAGTTGCGGTAGGCAGCAACTGTTATTGCGACGTCATATCCCCGCGGGGATCCATCGGGTTGACCAGCACCGCCTTCAAATAGTCGCGATTCATTCTCGCAATGAAGTCGATGCTGATTTCCTTGGGGCACTGAGCTTCGCACTCGGCATAATTGCGGCACGAGCCGAAGCCTTCCTTGTCCATCTGCTCGACCATTCGCACCACGCGAGGATAGCGCTCGGGCTGACCTTGCGGGAGCATGCCCAGGTGGGAAACCTTCGCCGCGGTGTACAGCATCGCCGCGCCGTTGGGGCAAGCCGCAACGCAAGCTCCACAGCCAATGCAGGTGGCAGCGTCGAGGGCCTTTTCCGAAACGTCTGGTTCAACCAGCATCGCGTTCGGATCGGGTTTCGGGCCCGAATGAACACTGATGTAGCCGCCGGCCTGCATGATTCGATCGAAAGCCGAACGGTTCACGACCAAGTCGCGAACTACCGGGAATGAATCGCTCCGCCAGGGCTCGATGTAGATCTGAGCACCGTCGGTGAAATGCCGCATGTACAACTGGCAGGTGGTGGTTCCATGCAGCGGGCCGTGGGCCTTACCATCAATCACCAGCGAGCACATTCCACAGACGCCCTCGCGGCAGTCGGAATCGAAAGCTACCGGCTCTTCGCCTTTCTCGGCCAGTTGAGAGTTCAGCACGTCCATCATTTCGAGAAACGACATGTTGGGGCTGATGTCTTCAACGACATAGCGAACAAAGCTGCCAGCGTCTTTGGCGTTCTTCTGTCGCCAGATATGTAGCGTGAATTTCATGGCAAGTCGGTTGCTGAGAGTATGGTTGCAGCGATCGGCAACGAGCCCTGGCGGGTAAAGCCAAGTGGGCAGCATCGCAGACGTTTAGGTTTTGTAGTTTCGTTGGGCCAAGGGAAGGGCCTCGAACTCGAGCGGCTCTTTCCACAGCTTCGGAGCCTGGCCGTCTTCGCCATGCTCCCAGACAGAAACGTGGGCAAACTCGTCGTCGTTTCGCAGTGCCTCACCTTCCTCGGTGGCGTACTCCTCGCGGAAGTGACAGCCACAAGATTCGTCGCGGTCCAATGCATCGAGACACATCAGTTCCGAGAACTCGAGGAAGTCGGCCAGCCGCCCGGCGTGTTCCAGGTCTTGATTGAACTCTTCCGGGCCACCGCACAATTTGAGGTTGGTCCAGAACTCTTCCCGCAGCTCGGGGATGCGTTTCAGGGCCTCTTCCAAACCTTGGCGATTGCGAGAGATGCCGCACTTGTCGATCATCAGCTTGCCCAACTCGCGATGAAGCGAGCTGACCGGGCGTTTTCCGCCAATTGCGAACAGCTTTCGCGTCCGCTCGCGGGCTTCTTCCGCTACAGTCGAGAAGTGCTGGTCGTCCGCACCAATCTCACTCGAGGGGTAACGACTCAAGTAGTCACCGATGGTGACCGGCAAGATGAAGTACCCATCGGCCAGGCACTGCATCATCGAGCTGGCCCCCAGCCGATTGGCACCGTGGTCGGAGAAGTTGGCTTCGCCGATAGCGAATAACCCTTGCACGCTCGTCATCAGGTTGTAGTCGACCCACAGCCCGCCCATGGTGTAATGCGGCGCGGGATAGATCCGCATCGGCATCTTGCGGGGGTTGTCGTCGGTGATACGTTCGTACATTTCGAAGAGATTCTGATACCGGCCTTCGATCGTTTCCAATCCCCGATCCTTGATGGCATCGCGGAAATCGAGATACACACCGTTGCCCGTCGCTCCCACTCCAAGCCCTGCGTCACACACCTGCTTGGCGTTCCGCGAGGCCACATCGCGAGGAACCAGGTTCCCGAATCGCGGGTAGCGTTCTTCGAGATAGTAATAGCGCTCCTCTTCCGGGATATCTCGCGGGTGACGGTCGTCGTCCTGCTTCTTCGGCACCCAAATTCGCCCGTCGTTGCGGAGCGATTCACTCATCAAAGTGAGCTTGGCCTGATGTTCGCCAGAAGCTGGAATGCAGGTTGGGTGAATTTGCACGTAGCAGGGGTTCGCATAACCAGCCCCACGACGATGCGCCCGCCACGTGGCTGTGACGTTGCAGCCTTTGGCGTTGGTCGAGAGATAGTAAACGTTCGCGTAACCGCCGGAGGCCAGCACTACGGCGTCCGCAGCTACAGGGCGAATCTCACCTGTGACCAAGTCGCGAACAATGATGCCCCGCGCTCGACCGTCGACCACGACGATATCGAGCAGCTCGGTCCGGGGGTGCATCGTGACTTTGCCTTCGTGAATCTGCTGGGCAAGAGCCGAATTGGCTCCTAACAAAAGTTGCTGCCCAGTTTCACCCCGGCAATAGAAGGTTCGTTCGACCAGCACACCACCGAACGAGCGGTTTGCCAGCATGCCGCCGTACTCGCGTGCGAACGGTACACCCTGGGCTGTGGCCTGATCGATGATGCCCATGCTCAACTGGGCCAGACGGTAGACGTTGGCTTCCCGCGAGCGATAGTCGCCACCCTTTTGCGTGTCGTAGAACAGCCGGTAGACCGAGTCGCCGTCGTTACGGTTGTCCTTCGCGGCGTTGATACCACCCTGGGCCGCGATACTGTGGGCACGCCGGGGGCTGTCTTGGAAACAGAAGCACTCGACGTTGTAGCCCATCGAGGCCATCGACGAAGCGGCCGAAGCTCCCGCGAGCCCGGTGCCGACGACAATGACCTTATAGTGAGGTCGGTTTCTGGGACCTACGAGCCGGATGTGGTCGAGGTGGGCTTGCCACTTATGCTCGATCGGCCCAGAGGGGATTTTTGATTCCAATTCCATCGCTTCAAGATTCTCCGCTCGTGGCTGCCTCGGTGGTTGACGACGCCTCGGGAGGGTCCGCCATGGCACCGGTAAAGAACATGACTGGAACCGAGGAGAACCCCAGGAAAACAATCACTGCGGCCACGGTAGCAAACATGCGCAACGCGCGATTTCGATCCGGGTTGTCGAACCCAAGGGTTTGAAACAAGCTCCAAGCCCCGTGATACAAGTGCAGGCCCAACATGGCCATCGCCGCCAAATAGATTAGCGCGAAATACCACTTCTGGAAGGCATAGTACAGATTCGAGTACACATCCCCATCAACAATCGGGGTGATATTGATCGTACCCGTGGTGAATTGCAGCAAGTGAAACACGACGAATGTGAGCAATAGTAAGCCACTTACAAGCATCATGCGTGCCGGCCACGAGGCGTGATCGTAGTTGTGTTCGTGATATCCCTTGGTGCGAACCGTGTTGTTCCGCGAAGCCAGGCTAATCACGGTCACTAAGTGCAGGATGAGGGCGATGATCAGGATGATGCGAACCGTCCAGAGTGCCACCGAATAGGGAAGCAACGGTTCGCCCATCGTGCGGAGGAATTTCGCATACACGTTGATATCGGGCACGCCGGAACTGTTGTCGCCGACGAAAACCTTCAGGTTGCCGGCCATATGCATCACGACAAACCCGAACAGGATAGTCCCGGTCACCGCGGCGATAAACTTCTTGCCGATGGTCGTTTGATAGAGCTGGGCGAAACGTTTCAAGCTACCGAACCTGGTGAAAGTAATAATGTGCGGGGCAAATGCCTACGTTCAATAGCATCGGCCCATTGGCTTTTTAGTCAAGCGGCCCAATCGCGACCACCCTAGGTTGTCGTGCGAAAGTTCAGTGCAGCTTATGGAAGCATCCTTCTACCTGGCACTAGTAACACGGCATCCACATCGTCTCGTCGACCTGCTTCTCGAGATCTTCGGGCGAAGTTTTCTCGGCCACACCGCAGGCTTGGGCCTCGTGGGCCACTGCAATCGCAATGTGTCGTGTCACTTCGCGAATGGTGTGAAGTGGCGGCAACAGCGAGTCATTCGGGTTCTTCAGCGCCGGCGAAGTCTCTTTGAGAGCATTCGCGGCGGCCATGAACATCGAATCGGTCACCCGAGTGGCTTTCGCACTGAGAATGCCTAGCCCCATGGCAGGGAAGATGTAGCTGTTGTTGCATTGGGCAATTTTGTGCGTGACACCCTTGTATTCCACTGGGGCGAACGGACTTCCCGTCGCCACAATGGCCTTCCCGTCAGTCCATTTCATCAGGTCTTCAGGAGTGGCCTCGGCCCGCGAAGTGGGGTTCGACAGCGGGAAAATCACTGGCCGCTCTGTATGTTTGGCCATTTCGCGAATGATCGGTTCGGAAAACGCCCCGCTTTGTCCAGTCGCCCCTACTAGAACCGTAGGCTTCGCCTGTTTCACAACATCTTCGAACGAAATCGGCTGCGAAAGATCGCATCCCCAGTCCTTGAGATCCTCGGCCTTCTGAGCCAGAGGGCGATGAACTTCGTCGAGGTCCGCTCGCTCGCTGTGAATCAAGCCACCGATATCGATCATGTAGAACCGGCGACGTGCTTCTTCCTCGCTCATACCACTACGGGTCATGGCGAGAATGAGCTGCCGTGTGATTCCGATGCCCGCCGATCCCGCCCCCAGCATCACGAACCGCTGCTGGGAGAAGTCTCCCTTCGTGGCTGCGATGGCTGCGAGAATCGTCCCGGTTGCCACGGCGGCCGTGCCCTGGATGTCATCGTTGAACGTGCACAGCCGATCGCGATAGCGCTGCAAGATGGGTTCGGCATCGACCGAAGCGAAGTCTTCCCACTGCAACAGCACGTTAGGGAAACGCCGCATTACGGCCTGCACGAACTGCTCGATAAATTCGTCGTATTCCTTGCCCTTGATCCGCTCGTGTCGCCAGCCGATATAGCGCGGGTCGTTGCGGCGTTCCATGTTGTTGGTGCCCAGGTCCAGCACCACGGGTAGGGTTCGGGCCGGGTGAATGCCACCGCACAGCGTGTACAGCGAGAGCTTGCCAATCGGAATTCCCATCCCGCCGGCTCCCTGGTCACCCAGGCCGAGAATTCGTTCGCCATCGGTCACCACAATCACGTCTGTCTCGCGTTTGACGTTATCAAAGATCTCGTCAAGCGAATCGCGATTGGGATAAGCGATGAACACCCCGCGTGGACGGCGGTAGATGTGGCTGAACTGCTGACAAGCCAGCCCAACCACCGGCGTATAAACGATCGGCATCATCTCTTCGACGTGATCGAGCAACACGCGATAAAACAGCGTCTCGTTCTCGTCTTGAAGCTGACGCAGAAAAATGTGTTTCTCGATGTCCGAGTCTTTGACCGAAAACGCTTCGTAAGAGCGCGAAGCCTGTTCTTCAAGTGTGTCGATGTGAGGCGGCAGCAGGCCCATCAGATCGAGATCGATCCGTTCCTGCTCGGTGAAAGCCGTTCCCTTGTTCAGCAGCGGGTCTTCGACCCTGGCGACCCCTTTGACATGCTCTGCACCCTCGTCAAATGGCTTTGTCCAAGTCATGGAATTCACCGGTCTCTCGTTACGAACGTGCGAGTCAGGCAGTCGGTGCAGATTCTCATGAGGCAGCGGCCGTCATGGTAGCACTTCTGCGATTAAACCTCATCGTTGTTTTCTAGAGTCATCGTGAGAATTAGTCTTACATTTTCCAAACCGAAAGGTTTACCGGTTTGTTCCTGGACAGAACTTCTCTTGCAAAGCGTACGGCCCCTACAACAGAACCCGCGTCATGGCGCTACTCCGACCAAGGCGTCTGCTGGTAGAAGATCACTTTCCACTCGCCGTCGCGACGCACCCAGGTCGAGGAAGAGTAGAACGTACCGACTTCCTCTCCCTTCTTTCCTGGATTACCACTCCAGCTGTACTTGAAGCTCAGAATCCCGACTTCGTCCGTCACTTCAATTACTTTCACGTCGCTGATGCTGTACTTTTCGAGGTTTGTGCTGGCCAACCGATCGAGAATCTGTTCGCCACGCTGACGCCCCAACTCCGGAACCACGGTGTAGGCCCCCGGAGCCAGCATCGATTTCAGCTTCTCCGCATCCTTGGCCTGAATCGCATCGATGAAGGCTTTCTCCTTGGCGAGCAGCGTTTGCTCCAGCGAATCGGCCCGACACGTGGCGCAAGTTACCGCGACCACAATTAACGCCAACATTGAGATCCGAGAGGCCATGTCACTTCTCCTTGGTGCAAAGGGACCATAAAGATTTCGTGAACCCGCTGACTGCTTGCCAGCGGAGAGCCGGATGTTTGTTCCTCTAAAGCAATGCCGTAAGTGTAGCTTCAGAGCGAGCCCACGAATTCAAGCAGCGGGCCCCGTTTGGACAAAGAATACGATTTGCAACCGCCTGTAAACGGTTGTCAGACCAGATCAGGTAAGGGGCTCAAACCTGGTTTCTCGCACCAAGAATATGGCCGTTACCAGCGAGACGGCCCCCATCGCACTCACCCAGCAGCCGGGCGAAATCGGAATCCCAGTGGTCGCAACCAGCCACGCGGCGAGCAGGGGAGTGGTGCCACCCAAGCAGCCGGTCGCCACGTTGTATGCAAAAGCCAATCCCGTGCATCGCACCGGCGAGGGCACTAGTTCAACATTCGCTCCGGCCAATCCTCCGGAGAAGACACCAATCGCCACGGAGAATCCACACAGCCCCGCAAGAATCGCTGCTTGGTTTGAAGTGTCAATGAGCAAAAAGAACACAACGCCGCCGAACGTCATCAACGCGCTTCCGGAAATCAGCAAAGGCTTTCGCCCAAAACGGTCGGAGAGCCAGGCCGCAGTGGGCAGCACCACTAACAGCATCGCCATGGCGGCCGTGTTCAAGTTCAACGCGGTTCTTGCAGACTCGTGATCGAGCGACTGCACAAACGACGAAGCATATACAAACGCGGTATGGAAGCTGACACCCAGGCCAACATTCAATAACGTGACGATCGCCACCGGCTTGTAGTAAACCGCCAGTGTATCGCGAACAGGACGGGGGCTCTCGCTTGTTCGTACAGGAGCCTGCAGCCGATGACGCAGCAGGTATCCTCCTGCCGCTACGAACGCACCCAGCAGAAACGGCACCCGCCAGCCCCAGCTCGATAGTTGCTCTGCGGTTAGCACGTTCGAAATTAAGGCGCCCACAGCAGAGCCAAGCATGATTCCCGCCAGTGCCCCCCAGTTGCTCCAGATTGCGGTTCTCGCTCGACGCTCGGGCGGCGCTTGCTCTGCCAGGAAAACCAATGAGTTGGTGTATTCTCCTCCCACAGAGAGCCCTTGAACGATTCGTAGCAGAACCACAAGCACCGGCGCGAGAATTCCTACGGAGGCGTACGTCGGCAACAGTCCAAACAACACGGTCGGCAGGGCCATCGCAACCACCGACAGAACCATTGCCCGCTGCCTTCCCGTCAGATCACCGATTCGGCCGAACAGCAGCCCCCCCACCGGCCGCATGAGAACACCCGCAGCAAATGCTCCGAATGCTGCGAGTAACGAGAGGGAGGGATCCTCCGATGGGAAGAAACGTGCCCCAATGACGGTCGCAAAGTATCCATAGAGACCGAAGTCGTACCACTCCACCACGTTGCCGATCAGCCCCGCCAGAATGACGCGTTTGGAAGATGGATTCGATACCTGTTCGGTCATGCTTGCTAGCAACCCAGAAAGCCGTCGTGCGCAAGTGTCGAGTCAGCTTCAGACGAGACTCGAGTGGTGGCAGAGATGCGTACCATTTTCAACAGGCGAAATCCAGCCTGAAGCAGAGACCAGGCGGCTTAGATCACTCCCGGCATGGCAATTGCAACTGAATTTATGGAGTTGTTCATCACGGAGACAGGAGTCTTACTATGAAAACCTTTGCGCTCATTGTCATGGGGTTGTTCGTATTGCTGGTGGTTGTACTTGTTTCCGCTGGGGTGATTACCTTCTTTAATACCGAAGGTGAAACGGGCATCACAATCGACAAACAAAAACTGGAAGAAACCGCAGAAGAAGCAGTGCAGGAGACGAGACAGGCCGCAGACGCGTTGATCGAGAAGACCAGCGAAGGCTTTGAAGAAGCCGGCGAAGAATTACGTGAACTCAATCAAAATAAGGGCTCTGACTCTGCCGAGTCTGACGTCGACTCAAGCGAAACGGAGACCACAGGAGCAACCCCGGCTCCTCAATAGAAGCCTCGAATCCCGTTGGTAACGACCCTACTCAAAAGAGTAAAAGCAGGATTAATACCACGACCAGCAGCGTCGCCAGTCCACCGCTGGGATAAAAGCCCCAGGAGCGGCTGTATGGATAAACCGGTAACGCACCAATCAACAGCAAGACCACGATCAAAAGCACAATCAGCTCGAGCATTCCCATGGTGAAACCTCTTCTCGCAAGCCAATCAAGACTGGAAATCCTCAAGCTCATGACATGAGGGCATCTAGCTGGATTCGCAAACGTTGTGCCACTAGGTGGGCACAGGCCGTTTGTAGGGGTTCGGTTGACTGAAGCGGGATAAGGTGAGTTGGTCGCAGTATTCAGGCAGATCTTATCTGTCTGACTTGCGAGCACCGTGGCAGGCGGGCGTCCAACTGAGGGGCACGCCCGTGGCGTAGAGTAAGGAGTCGAGAAACCATTTCCCCGTGTATCAAGGCGTTTCCAGTTGCGGTGCCCCCACAGGTGGGCCTATATGTTCTGTGGCACGCCTCTTGCTACATCACACCTTCCAGTTACCCGTCCCGCTACGTCAGGAGTCTCAAGATGAGTGTGAAACGTTTCAGGAGCTTGTTTGCAGTTGTTTGTGTTGCCATGGCAGCCATGGTGTTTGCTCCTGGTTGTGACCGCAAAGAAGAAGTCCTCGACATCGAAACTCCCAATCGGGATATCGAGGTCGAACGCGATGTAGATAACGGCAACGTCGATGTCGACGTTGAACACAAAGATAACTAACTGCGCCCAAGTGGGATGCAGTTAGGGACAAAGAGAGGCGAGGAAAAGGGGGAGTGATGAGCACAACTGGTCAACCACATCACGATGCTTCGGATCGCCCCCCAACCTACCCGATGCCGCCCACGCCAGATTTGAACGTGGCGGTGCCTTCAACGGACTCACTCGGTTTGCCAACACCACCGAATGAGCCGAACGAACCAATCCACGGCGGCGAGCCCCGACCGTCTGCCGTGGGTTGGTTCACGAAGGCACTCGTCGCCTTCGTTGTAATTGCCGGCATTGCCATCCTGATTTGGATGGGCCAGTAGATTCAAGGTGCGTCATCCAGCGGCCGGCACCGCTTCACTGCCCTTGTCCGCGGGCGTGGGGCTTGCGGCTTCGCTCAATTCTCCGTTCAACACCGAGATCGCTTTCCCCGACAACCGCACCCGGTCGTTCTCCCAAGCTACGAGGACCACACCACCACGGGCGGATATCTGATGCCCGATGAGTTCGGTCTTACTAAGCCGCTTTCCCCAATACGGGGCTAAACAGCAATGGGCCGATCCACACACGGGGTCCTCATCGATTCCAGCTTTAGGAGCGAAGTACCGCGACACGAAGTCGTAAGCCGCATCGTTCGAACGACTGGTGACGATCATCCCCAAGCCCGGTTGGCTTGCGACCCATCCCAGATCGGGCTCCAACTCCCGCACCGAACTCTCCTCGGCCACCTCCACGATCAAATCGCGGGCATTACGCTCCACATGGATCACATCTGTATTCAGGGCCGCCTGCAAACCCTCAGGCATCTCCGTGGGGCTTGAAGCCTTAGCTGGAAAGTCCATCTCCATGAGTTCTCCGCGCCGCACGACGACCAGCAGCCCGCTGCGTGTGTTGAACTCCGCCGCAGCATCTGCCGGCAGAAAACCCTGCTCCCACAGCACGTGGGCTGCAGCCAACGTGGCATGTCCGCAAAGATCCACTTCCATCGTTGGAGTGAACCACCGCAGGGAAAACCGCTCGCCCTCCCGCAATAGGAAGCACGTCTCAGAGAGGTTCATCTCGGCGGCGACCTTTTGCATCCATGTGTCGGGCACTTCCTTCGATAACACACATACGGCTGCCGGATTGCCCGCGAAGGCCTGCTCAGTGAAAGAATCGACGACCGTAATCCGCTGTCCCATGGGTTCTTCTCCTCACGTTCCTCTTCAACTGCCCGGTGAAACGGCGACGACGGCGAACACTCGGTGCGGAACCGCCATCACCTCCGGCTCGTTCCGGTCATCCAAAAGTTTTTGCAGCGCCTGATCGAAACGCTCAACTTCTTGCGGCGACAAGCTGGCGGCCACCCCGGCACTTGCTCGAATACGTCCCCGCCAATCTTCCTGCCGATACGTTACATCCACATCGAACGAGAACGACTCGATCTCCACAAACCCCGCTGTTCCCAGGTCGGCCAACCATTGCGGATACATTCCCACCCCGCCCCCCAAGATCCAGGCAGGATTGAACGCCTCGATCAACCGTTCCGTCGCTTCAACCATATTGCCAGCCAGCGGGAGCCAGTCGAAATGCGCTATGACGATCCGCCCTTCAGGTTTCAGCAACCGCCGCACCTCACAGGCCACCTGCGGTCGGTCGAACCAATGCCAGCACTGTCCGGCAGAGACGATATCAAACCGATGATCTTCCAGCGGAACGCTCTCCGCGTGAGCCGTTAGATACTCACTCGTCAGCTCCTCCAGGCCATCTAAACGTCGCGCCTGCTCCAGCAAAGCCGAAGATGGATCGAGCCCGACAACATTGCAGCCCGCACGCGCGAGCCCTCGGCCCAGCACTCCTGTGCCCGTTCCCAGGTCCAGCACTCTCTGCCCCGGAGTACCAACTCCAAACTTGGCGAGGCGGTCAAATAACTCAGCAGGGAAGCCCGCACGATGGCGAGCGTAGTCTGCAGCCGTCTCACCGAAGTCGATCTTCATCGCTCTGCTGGTCTCAACAAGTTCTGTGGCTACCCAAAACTTTCGCGCAAGCTGCGCAGCCGATTCTACAACCACAGAAGGCAATTCTGCCAATCAGGTTCGCGCAGCCGGCGGTTCGGGATGATGGTGTGGGTGGTTGGCAACCCGCAGCGCAACCAGTCGTGCAACCAGCACCGCGAGATACAACTGTCCACACACAGCCTCTAGCCATGTGCCAGTTCGTGCTGCAGCCGAAATCGGGGTCATGTCGCCGAACCCCAAGGTGGTGAGCGTCGTGAAGCTGAAGTAGATAAAGGTTGAGACGAACTCCCAGGCGCGGGGCACCCCTTCATCCGGCTGAAATCGGGCGGGGAATTCAAAAGACTCAGGCTCGATCACCTCGAGCAGGCAATACGCCAGCGCCCAACTGATTCCAATCAGCAGGTAAACACTGATCGCACCGCAAATCGTATCGGTGCCCACCCGTCGCTCGTGCATCACATCATTCAGGATCAACGCTGCGGCGAATAGTAGAAAGGCGATGTACGTCACAAGCTGGAAGATCGCGGCCAGACGATTCGTGTTGGGGGCAACCCACTCAGTGACATGAAAGGCCCCCGTAGCCAGGGCAGCCAGAAACGCCAGGATCAAAGCCCCCGCCAGTCGAGCCGGAGTGCGATCGACGGCGAACGTGCCACTGATCACCACGAACACGAAAAACAGCTCGATCAAATCCCGCACATCGTGGATCCCCTCACTCACTGGGTGCACCACCACCATCAGCAGCAGCGTGAACAAGTGCAGCTTGAACTTGTGCTCCTGCAACCAAACTCGCCATGGCGGGTGTTTGGCTTCCATCGTTTCGGCGACCGATCGATCTTCCATGTGATCTTCCTTCATCCCCAGTTGCGGCACTTTCAACCGTGCCCTGCCACATCAGGCCCCGACGGCTGCCAAGATTGTAAGGGTTGCACGGCCCAGCCCGTGTTCCCGCCGCGGCAGAAACGCTCGAATTGCCTCAGAATTTGCCCAAGGTTACCATCGAGTAAGAGAGCATTGAAGGAGTCTGCTGAGGTGTCTTTTCTGCTTCGCGGCGCATGTATCTGCTAAACGCCGTCGGTGAGATTGGCCGAATGTACCTAACTGCCTGAGTGGCTGAGGTTCTCAGCAGGCAATCCAGGTGCGACCACGTGTAGGATTCGGAGTCGAGGGTGCGGAATTCCATTAAGCTCGGTCTTGCCGTCTTCGGCATCTTCGCCACCGCTGCGCTGGTGATCGGCGCCGATTGGTGGGTCGCCAAACCGCTCGACGCCAGCCGGACCTTTGTGGGCCGCGACACCTGCGCCAAATGCCATCAGCCGGAGTTCCAAGCCTGGTCCGGCTCGCATCACGACCTGGCCATGGACCATGCCACCGCCGAAACCGTGCTGGGCAACTTCGACGATGCGGTATTCGAGAACTACGGCGTCACCTCCCGGATGCACCGCGAAGGCGACAAGTACTTCATGACGACCGACGGCCCCGACGGCGAGCTGCAGGACTTCGAGATCAAGTACGTCTTCGGCGTCGAGCCGCTGCAGCAATACCTGGTCGAGTTCGACGATGGCCGCGTGCAATGCCTGCCCATCGCCTGGGACACCGAGCAGAAGCGTTGGTTCCATCTCTATCCCGACGAGAAGATCGACCACAACGATATTCTGCACTGGACCAAGGCGGCCCAAAACTGGAACCACATGTGCGCCGAGTGCCACTCGACCAACGTGCAGAAGAACTACG